TCACGTGCGTTGTCGCCGAGAGCCCTCCACCACTCCGTAGAGGAGAGCGACGTCGTTCATCGACGTCCGCACGCGAGCTGCCTGCAGCCGCCGTCGACCGCTGCACTCGCGCCTGACTCCTGTCGACGCCACCGTCGACCTTGATCACACCTCTCTGCTTCGTGCCTTCGTTGCCGCTGACTCGTGCACCGCCGTCGACCTCGTCGTCGACGCCACCTTCGTTTCGCACCGGTCAAGGAGAAGTAGGACGGGAAGGGTGTTCTGTCGCCCACTGCGCCCGGATGCCCAACTCGGCGATCGTCAAGGGGATCGTCCCGTACTCGCCATCCGCGTGGCGTTTCCTCGCATCAGCCAAACGTGCCTCCAAGGTGTCCGCTACGCCCGCTTCTACAACGGGGTCGACCATGGCGACTAACGCTGCCGCCGGCCTACGAACGACTTAGTAGGTGCAAAAGTCGGCTCCTATCTGAAGGTAATCTGCGGGGCCGTCCACGTTCACCGCACCATGCGGAGAGTCACTCTACAACGGTAGTGAGCTAGACTACGAGGGTTGGCATGAACTACAAGGAGTGACCGTAACTTTGCTTAGTTCCTTAGCGCTTGCACATTCACGGGAGAAGTTGGCAAGAGTTTCCACTAGGCAAAGTCGAAATTACAGAATGATTGAACAAGCGATGACAACAATGACTACATCAGGCACCTAGCAACTCTGCAGCTAGCCTGGTCGACCGCCAGCATAGCTTGGTTGACCGCCTGCCAGCATTGCGTAGAGGAGCCGCGCCAGCACTGCAGAAGGGCGACCTGCCAACGCTGCAGGTCGACGGCGTGCCAACGCTGCAGCAAAGCGGCTGTCCAGCGTTGCCCCGTAGAAGACAGCAGTGCGCACGCTCGCAGGTGCGCGCAGACGATTGGCCCGACTTGCACCGTTGTGCATCCGTCGACTGTTGTCTGTGCCTGACGAGCCACATCGACTTCGGGATACCAACTCGAAGTCGCCTTCGCCATCGCGACCTCGACGACGTTCGCGTGCCTCCGCAGAACTCGCCGAGCAGGTTACCCGATCGACCTGGTCGACCACCAGTGCCTCCGGTCGACCACTAGGTGCCTCTGGTCGACCACCAAGTGCCCCTGGTCGACCACAGCTCCCGTCGAGCTACCCCCTGGTCGACGGGCCCCTCCGTCGATCAGCAGTGTCAGCTGTTGTCGCCGAGCTCCCCTCGTCGACCGCTGCTCACATGTGAGGTTGACGGACTGCTCCGTTGACCTCCCGGTCGAACTGCTCCTCCTGGTCGACGGCCCACCCGTCACCCAGCCCAGTCAGCTGCAGCTGTTGAGCTCCCTGGTCGACGGCTCCAGCCCCGTGACAGTCCTATGCAGGCCGACAGCCATTTAGTCGACCTGCCCCGCAGAAGAAGGCCGTCGAGCACTCCTGGTCGACGGCAACACCACAGTGATCCCCTGCAGCTCGACGAAGCCCGTCGAGCAGCTCCTTCACTGCGAACGGTCAGCTGCTTCTCCCGTACATCCGACCAAGTCGTCGGCGTTGCCCAAGCGAGGGCGGGGCCAACACTTCATTCCCGTTAACACGCGAAAGTGCACCCGCTAGGCCGGCGGTAGCAGGTGACTAAGAGCAAGGCGGGCAGCAGCGGCGCGTGACATCCAAACCGAGTATGCAAACTGGGTCATGCGGTGAGCCTCCCGCTCCTCCGAGGTTGGCTCAGCAGTAAGAGCAGGAGGACGCTGGGGGGCAGGTAGCTCACCCGACACGTGGGCGTACAGCTGGCTCTGCAGGTGGAGCTGGACGTCGAGCAGCCATGCATCAAAGTTAATTCCCCGCCCCTCCGCATCGAGCCGCAGTACGAACTCGGACGCCATGATAGGAGTGAGTAGGGGCACAACTGCAACGGACGAGAGGAGATAGCCACAGGCGGAGAAGAAGACAATCAGAGGCAATCATGCAAAGCTAAACCCTAAATCGCGGCTGCAGATGCGGCTGGCAGGCGGGGCGGCATGTACGGTCGGCAGGCGCAGTTGCAGGCGAGGCCGACAGGCTCGGTAGGCGCCCGGCGGGCGCGGCGACAGGCGCGACGACAAGGCGCGCGGCCGACGCGGCTTAAGGGCGTGACGGCGGGCGCACGGCAGGTGTGCGGCCGACGCGGTTTAAGGGCGTGGTGGCAGGGCGTGGCGAGGTGCGCGGCAGGGCGTGCGGCAAGGTGCGGCAGGGCGTGCGGCATGTGCGTGGCAGGGCGCGGCGTGGCGCCCGGCAGGGTGCGGTAGGGCGCGGCAGGGCGTGCGGCAAGGCACGGCAGAGCGCGCGGCAGGGTGAGACAGGGCGTGTGGGAGGGCTCGGCAGGCCGCGAGTGGCAGCGGGAGACGGCGGGGGCGCGGCAGGGCGCAGCAGGCCGCGAGCGGCAGTGGGCGACGGCGGGCACGCGACAGGCGCGGCGGGGCGCGGTAGGGCGCGGTGGGGCGCGACGGGGCACGAGAGGGGGCCGCTAGAGGGCGATAGCTAAAGGGCGATAGAGGGGGGCGCTAGAGAGGGAGCCGCTAGAGGGGGGGCCTGATTGCACGAGGGCAGCTAGGGAGGTAGGTGGGGCAGAAGTGAGAACCTAACATAATCTGATACCATGTCAAGAACAGGATGAATGAAGAATGAGGGCCTATAGAGGGGGTATATCTAGCAACCACATACCCTCTATTGGGCAACCCAACCTAGCCTATGTTGACAATGTGGCAAACCGGTAACGACGCAAGGAACGACGCAAAACAATCACCACATAGCCTATGTTGACAATGTGGCAACCCAACCCAACCGGTAACGACGCAAGGAACGGTCGAGCCCGTGAACCATGTACGCGGTGAAGTCAGGTGCGACATTTGAAAAATTCCATACATGACTGTGTTCCTTAAAGCTGCGGTCTACATACATAAATGCCTTTTTGGGGTACAATTAGCGTGGACACCCTAGAACGCACTCTGATTAGCTTGCGAAGTGACCCTTGTCCTGAAATGGGGGTGCGAAGGTGTCAAACAAGGCTGGCGAATCCCGCCAGTTTCGTGAAAAAAACTTGGGTGGGAGAACAACCCTCGGCGAATCCTCAAACGTTTCGAGCGGTTTAGGGTTTGGCGAAACTGATGAGCCAATCCTGAGAGTGCGAATTTTCAGGGGGGGGTTGTGGAGGTCACAAATCCTCGCCACTGAAGCTCACAGCAACCTGGTTTTCAAGTGATAAACTCAGGCCTCCCGCGTGAGGTATGTTGGCCGCAGCTTTAACTATAGTTGGGTGATGCTGCTCATTAGTTGTCGTAAGCTTAGAAATAGTGGATACCGGAATTGGGTAGAACGCTAGTTACTAGCCTGCCAACTAGGCAGAGCAGTGATACATGCAGATGTAACAGTAGACATGCTGATGGTTAGAGCAACGCGCAATAATACCATCCCTAGGCAACTGCACTGTGTCCATCCAAACTATCATGAGAACCAATCTGAGTGTCTGGCTGGTGTATTGCTGCAAGAAATTCGTTTTGGCTTGTGGTGCAATATCTAGTTGGCCTTGTTTAGAGGAAGTAGTCAGGTGTTCTCCTGCTGATATCAGGCTCTCCTCTTCTTGGTGCTGGCTCAAACTGCAGACGTAGGGTAGCAGGTGCAAGGCAGGTACACTGAAACGAAGAGCAATCCCACTCAACCGAAACTTGGGACATTGCAACAAAAAAGCTTACATCAACCAGCAAAAATGTACCATACGGATCAGTGTGCCTACGTGATACGGTGAGGTGTGGTACGGTGTGGTGCGGTGTGGTGTGATGTGGGTGGGCTGGTGCAGGAGAGGTTATACCTGAATGAAGGTGTGCCCCATGGCATCATCCACCTCCAAAATAGCAGCCATGTTGCCTGCGGTCAAGTGCGGTGCAGTGTGGTGTGGATGGAAGGGTTGGGCATGAAATATGAGTGTGTGGGTAGGGCATGCCAAAGCGATTACACACCAATTGCAGAAACAGCTAAGTGAGAGGAAGAGTGAGAGGCAAAGCTTATACGGGGGTACACAGTCGAGTGAGCTGATGCAAACGTATATAACTTGCCTCCAAGTTGCTAAGGGGTTTTCCTTCGCGTGTGTTTGCTTATGGAATTCTTTCATTTTTTACCCGGGAAAAAAAAATCACCATCAACCAACTACGATTCGTCCAGAGAAAGCATGTTTGACTGTGCACCGCCGGTTTTAAGTGAGAGATGCATAGGCTCACTCACCGCAGCGATAGCAGTAGTTGGGTGCACTGAAAATGGTGACCACTTTTTGCTCCTGGTGAAGGTACATGTGAGGGAGGGTTTAATTGGGGAAGAGAATGTGTGAGGCAGAGAATGCATAAGGCAGCGAATGTGTGAAGGTGAGGATTGAGTGGAAGGGAGTGTGTGAGGGAGGAGTGTGCGAGGGAAGGAGTATGTGGGGCAGGGAGGATGTGAGGAAAGGAGTATGGGAGGAAGGAGGTTCAGAGAGACATAGAAAACGGAGAAGGAGCAGAAAAGAGAAGGTAAAAAGAGTATGCAAGGAGATGGGGAGAGAAAGGGAAGAGAGGAGAAGGCGAGCAGGAGAGGGGGAGAGGAGGAGAGGGGGAGAGAGAGAGGGGGTTGTGAACATGCAAACATGCAGCATGGATGCAACAACGTTCAGTGATTGCAAATCGATGCGCTCATGCCGAGCCACCCAGAAAAAAAAATATCTCAAGGGAGACACAGCAGGAACTCACGTGCACACACAACCCACTGGTACCCCTCCATCACACAGTGATGTGCTCTTGCCGAGGCCCGGGCCACAGCAGCAGCACAGAAAACAGGAGCTTCTCGAAGGGCACAGCACAGCACAGCAGCACTCGAGGAAGGAACTTGACATCGCTCACAACTGTCAAGTGCACAGGTGCTCCTATCCTATGGGACGCAAGATGGTGGTCTGCTCCCCAATTGTCGCTCATGCGTTCTTCACGAACGCAACTTGGGTTGGGAACAATTATCTCCCGCCCTCACTCATTGATGATGCTCTTGTTTGAGAGTTGGAGGAAAGAAGCGACACTCTGAATGGCTTATTAAGAGAGAGACTCACGTGCGCCCAGTTATATCCCTCCATCACTAGTTGATGTGCTCTCGCCACCAGCTTCAGCCCGTTGTTGTGATTGAACTGCTCTGAGATGTCCTGTGGAGGGGAGTGTGTGGGGGGAGTGGGTAGAGGGGAGTGAGGGGGGATTGGATGAGGGGAAGTGAGAGTGAAGTGGGGCACATCGTGGGCCAGTCGGCTCAAAGGGGTACCAGCAGTTACCAACTCCACTGTCTGTCTGTCTGTCCCCAACTGCCCAACAAGACCAAACAGCTCAACACCCAGCTCACCTGCCCGAAGGTGTAGCCAGCTTCTCGGGGAGAGATGCCCCAGTCGCAGCGGTCGTTGTCGGGATCGGACCAGAGCAGGTCGCACATGGGCCCCTCGTGAGGCACCTTGTGAGGCACCTTGAGAGGTACTGACTGGCATGCCATTCCTTGGCCAAAAGCATGCACAGAGCAGCGCAGGCAGGCACCCATCCGTACCTGGCCGAAGGTGTAGCCAGCACCACGGGGAGAGATTCCCCAGCCGCAGCGATCGTCGGGGTCGGACCAGAGCAGGTCGCACATGGGCCCCTCGTGAGGCACCTTGTGAGATGCACTGAGCTGCTATTATATTCCTTAGCCAAAAAAGAATACCAGAGCGCAGGCACCCGTATAGTACCTGGCCGAAGGTGTAGCCAGCACCACGGGGAGAGATTCCCCAGCCGCAGCGGTCGTCCGGATCGGACCAGAGCAGGTCGCACATGGGCCCCTCGTGAGGCACCTCCTGGATGCGGTCGAGCTGCCTCACGTGGTCCAGCGAGTCTATTGAGGGGGACAGGCCCCCGTGCAGACAGAAGATCTCTGATTCGACCTGAGGGGGGGGGGGGGGGGGGAGGGGAGAAGGGGGGGGGGGCAGCGCGGAAGCAGGGGAGGGGGAGCAGAGGAGGGAGCAGGGGAATGCGAGTAGGAGATGGAGCAGGGGAAGGAGCAGTGGAGGGAGGGGGAGCAAGGGAGGGGGTTGAAGAGGCGAGCAGGTCGCACATGAGCCCCTCGTGAGGCACCTCCTGAATGCGGTCGAGCTGCCTCACGTGGTCCAGCGAGTCTATTGAGGGGGACAGGCCCCCGTGCAGACAGAAGATCTCCGACTCCACCTGGGGGGGGGGGAGGAGAAGGGGGGGGAGCACGGAAGCAGGGGAGGTGAAGCAGAATAGGGTTGAGGAGAGGAGGGATATGAGGAGGGAGAAGCGGACAGAGGAGGAGGTTTAAGAGCAATCGAGTCTGTGGTTGGTTGGGCTATAGGACCATGCACGCAAAAGATATGCAACTCCAGCGGCAGTGAACGTAGGGAGGATGAAGGAGCGGGGCATGGCAAGGCGGTTAGAAGGTAGTGAGATGAGAAGGGTAAGAATAACACAGAAAGTACCACGGCAGTGAGAGTGTTGTGAGAAGAAGGGGCTGAGGGTGGGGGTGGGGGTGGGGGTGGGGGTGGGGGTGGGGGTGGGGGCGGGGGTGGGGGTGGGGGTTGGGAGAGGGGAGGGGAGGGGAGGGGAGGGGAGAAGTGGGTGAAGGGAGGGAGGGATGGAAAGAGGGAGCGGATTACGTACCACGGCGGTGACAGGGAAGTAGTCGAAGAGGTCGGTGAGCATCTTCCACACACTCGCACTGCCGTACCTGCAGGGGTGGGAAGTGAGCAAGTTGCATTGGGTTACTTTCTTAGGGTGCCTCATACACGAGCATCTTCCACACACTCGCACTGCCGTACCTGCAATGCAAGGTGTGGCATGGTTTGGCATGGTTTGGCATGGCATGGCGTGGGCCGGGTTGAGAACAGTGTTGATGGTTAGAACGGCAATACAGTGTGCAAGGTCCCACTGTGAGGATCTGAATGGGAGAACACAACAATTCCACTCGTCACAGAAACCGTAGGCTGGAGTGACATACAACGGAATCTGCGATTGATCTGTGACTGATGATCTTCAGTACGTGCAACGTGAAGCCATCCCCCGGTCACTATTCTCTCACTGCACAGAGTTTTCACACTCCTTGCGAGAAGGAAGGACTATAACGAGACCTGCTCATTCTAGCACTCACTTGCGAAGGCATTCGTCATAGAAGCCATAGACTTGCGTGATCTGCAGACAGGGGAAGGGAATGAGAGAGGGAGATGGAGGGAGAGAGGGAGGAAGAGATGGAGGAAGGGGAGGGTGGGAGAGAGGGAGGGAGGGAGGGAGGGAGGGAGGGAGGGAAGGAGCGAGAGAGGGAGGGAGGGAGGGAGGGAGGGAGGGAGGGAGGGAGGGAGGGAGGGAGGGAGGGAGGGAGGGAGGGAGGGAGGGAGGGAGGGAGGGAGGGGGGGGAGGGGGGGAGGGAGGGAGGGAGGGAGGGAGGGAGGGAGGGAGGGAGGGAGGGAGGGAGGGAGGGAGGGAGGGAGGGAGGGAGGGAGGGAGGGGGGGAGGGGGGGAGGGAGGGAGGGAGGGAGAGATGGAGGAAGGGATTGAAGGAGCGAGAGAGGGAGGGAGGGAGGGAGGGAGGGAGGGAGGGAGGGAGGGAGGGAGGGAGGGAGGGAGGGAGGGAGGGAGGGAGGGAGGGAGGAGCGAGGGAGGGACGAAGGGAGTGAGGGTGGGAGGGAGGGAGGGAGGGAGGGAGGGAGGGAGGGAGGGAGGGAGGGAGGGAGGGAGGGAGGGAGGGAGGGAGGGAATGAACGAGGGTGAGAGGACAGAAATGAGGAAGAGAGGAAAGAAACGAGGGAGGGAGTGGGGGAGGGAAGGGGCGAGAGAAGCATGAGCTTATATGCATGACTACCTGGGGGGGGGGGAGGGGGGGGGAGCGGGGGAGCAACTTTCTGACTGTGACTGCACGCAGCATGCGCCTGCAGAAAAGCAAATGGAGTTCGGACGGCAGCAAGCGAGAGCACGCACCTGGCGACTCTCGTGGTTCCCTCGGAGAATGGTGATGCGGTCAGGGTGGCGCACTTGTGTGTTTTGAGTCGCCCGAAACACACCTGGATTCAAGCCGCAGCAAGTGAGAGAGCACGCACCTGGCGACTCTCGTGGTTCCCTCGGAGAATGGTGATGCGGTCAGGGTGGCGCACTTGTGTGTTTTGAGTCGCCCGAAACACACCTGGATTCAAGCCGCAGCAAGTGAGAGAGCACGCACCTGGCGACTCTCGTGGTTCCCTCGGAGAATGGTGATGCGGTCAGGGTGGCGCACTTGTGTGTTTTGAGTCGCCCGAAACACACCTGGATTCAAGCCGCAGCAAGTGAGAGAGCACGCACCTGGCGACTCTCGTGGTTCCCTCGGAGAATGGTGATGCGGTCAGGGTGGCGCACTTGTGTGTTTTGAGTCGCCCGAAACACACCTGGATTCAAGCCGCAGCAAGTGAGAGAGCACGCACCTGGCGACTCTCGTGGTTCCCTCGGAGAATGGTGATGCGATCCGGGTGGCGCACCTTCAACGACACCAGCAGCTGCGGGCGGGGTGCGCGGATCACGCACGTGGAGACACAGCAGAGAGAGAAGACTGAGAGTGAGTGAGAGCACGAGTAACGAGAAGCTTAGACTGGCTAAATACACAAGAGAAACAACTCCCAGATACATGTGGCTTTGGTGGCAAGGTAAATACACAGCTTACAACAGAATTTGCTAGCAATTGAGATGTTGACGCAAAAGAAGGGCCTCAAGAGGGGAAGCTTACAGTAACTGTCTCGACGGAGTAGTAGCCTCTGTCGACATAGTCACCCATGAAGAGGTAGTTGGTGTCTGGTGACTGCAGGCACGCGGAGAGATAGAAGAAGGCATGGGAAGAGATGGGATGCCGGGAAAACGACGGACGTAGAAATCAGCTAAACACTAGATTCTGTACACACTCCCACATGGAGAATGTTACACTAGCTAACTCGCACGACGTATGCTGTTTCAATCGCACAGGGTAAGCCATTCGAACCCCAAAACCCGAGTGAGTGCTATGTGAAAACTCAACCCAGCAACAGCATACCTTTCCGCCAATGCGGAACAGCTCCGAGAGGTCGTGAAATTGCCCGTGAATGTCGCCACAGATGGTTACCGGGCACCTGACAGGCTGGCATGAGACGGGAAATTATGAGAGTAGATGGAAGCAGTCGGAATAAAAGCTATGTTACGCCGCCAGCACGCCACAGTTGATCAATGTACGACTGATAAGCAGGAACTATATGGCATGGAAACAGCAATGTGTTGCTTGAGTCAACTCGCGACAGTTTGCGATAGGTTGCGACCCCATGGACTAAATAAAGAGCGGTAAAAAGGTAAAGGCAGAAACAAGTGAAAGTCGAGCTTGACTGGTTAGCTTAACCAGCTCATTGCTGAGTGCAAAAAGCGAAATGAAGCAGTTAACTTTGTCAACGACACTATGTAACCAATTTCATTGTTCCAAGTAAGCGATTTGGCGGAAAGAGGACATTAGACTAGTCGCGACATGCGTCGTAGGCTTCGCGAGATGCCGAGGGATCAGCACAAAACTTATGTAGTTTCAGAGGGCTCGTTAGGTCAACAACATATGTCTGCTGCCAAACATTTTTCTGGTCGACTAAGTGCCTATTCGAGCATTGCTAGGCTCGGTCTCGAAAGCTGACTGGAACATTGCGACGATCAGTCTGGAAAAGCGAACGCGAAAACCGCTAGGATCAGCCTGAAAGACTCACTGGCGCATTGCTAGGAAGGACACTTTAGACATTGCCGGGATTAACATAGAAAGCTTACTTGTACATTGCTCTCTTCCACCAGGATCTCCCTGGCTTTCTCGCAGAGGGCCTTCACCTGCAGGAGATTACAAACGGACAATGGCGTGCCACATTGAAACCCTAATGCAGGAAAACGAGCCGACATTGTCGTGTTACGATGATACCCTGACACAAGTGTGAACTAGGTAGGTAAAAGAGGACGGTCGAAACGGCGGTAAATACTGAGCTGATAAATAACTAAACTCAAATGCGTCAACATTTGTGATCGAGCGGTCGAAAAACACAGAATCGGACGACGCTGGCCAACGGACACTCAATATCGGAAACCTATGAAGCCGAAATGGAATAAGTCGAAGTACGCGGAACGTAGTAGGCGGACGACGCACCTCTGCCTCGGTGAGAGGTTTACATTCGTGGAGCTGTTCAATATGCGAGTCGAGCTGCTCCTGATTTACCATGTCTTCTCTACCTTGCCTGAACGAAACCCGTTAGTCAGTAGTTAAAACGGGTCTAAACTACCTCGTAACGTCACTGTGCGTAGATCCGAGGATTGGAACCGAGCGACGAAGGGTTATTGGATCAATGCGAGCGAGATAACATTGGTGAAGCAGCTAGGTTTCAGCCGATGGATATTGAAGCAGTTGCTCTTATCTGCAGAGCACCAACAAAGCAACAAACTCTGATCTGGCAGTGACCAGAAGTGACCAGTCAAGACCCTCTTAACTCTACCCAAACCTTCTAGTTGTTAAATGAAACACTTTCCAACCTTTATTACCGTACGCTATGGGATCAAGTTCCAAAGCATTGATCGCTCTCAACTGACATTTGTTGGAAACAGACTGGCTATTGGAGGAAACACGAGAACCACGGTGTACCGCATTTAATCGCTCGGAAACGCACATCGTCTGAGACTCGTACCATGTCCAGACCTGAGGTTCGAAATACGTCCTTATGAAAATACACTGCATGCTCACAAGACATGTACACCATTGATGTACGAGGACAACTTGACCTTGACACGGCAGTGGTTGATTTCGAGCAAGGGAGGCCAGTCGTGCCAATAGGCAGTCACCTCGTCAGCAGCAGTGCAAGCTCAGCGCAAATCGGAACGGACCCTTGAACTTGCACACACGGCCAGATTTGTGGAACTGACCTCAACGAGAGCGCACTTTGCAGTTCCATTTTGGGAGGGACTCGGCTACAGTCGTTGCTCACCCTATCCCGTGTCCAAAGGTTATCACATTGGAAAAAACACTCACATTAACATGTTTTGCCAGGAACTGTCGCAAGGGGTTCAGTCACTCGAATCTTTGGAGTGTTGTGGATTTCGGGTGGCAGAATCACAAGTCACCTCGACACATGAGCAACAGACAACTGCCTACAGAAAGGCAGCGAGGAGACTGCCCGAAATGCAGCGAAGGCTTTGACGGCATCGCGATGGCAAGGTACGCCACGTTGGCAGCGGCTTGAACTGTCAAGCCGACGTGACGGACTGAACTGTCAAGTCGACTTGACAGTTCACTGCCACCTCACACTCTCACAAGGGTGGCAGCGCGAACATTTCGATGGCCTCGCGCTGCCATATTCCAGCCACATCGGACGCGACTTGAAATGTCAAGTTCGATCAAATGGGTGGGGAACCTCCCACCTCACACAATTATCCGAAGCGCGGGGACCCCTTGTGAGGGACTTGCCCAAGGGACTGTTTTCCTGGAAGTACCCCAACAGTTTCGGAACTGTGTGTTAGAGAATGTCATAATTATATGCAACTACAGAACAGGTAGTCGCTAAGTATCAGAACAAAACGACACCCTGGTTCGTAATTTCAACACTGCCTACATGCCACAATTTCGACATGCAAAGCCTACCGAGTACCAAGTCACAACTACAAAGAGTGACGCAAAACTCTCTCGACTATCAGTAGCCCAGCAACATTTCTTATAGGCGCCATGGCGCGGCAACGTCAGCGCACCCAACTTACCCTCAGTATGAAACGGGCCATTTGTGCCCAGGCTGAAGCCCATCAGCACCTGCGCCATGAGGACCTTTCGCGCTGGTGTTTCACCCGCTACGGCATTCGGCCGGACCGTTCGACCATCGGGAAGATTCTCAAGGAGGAGCAGCGTTGGAGGAGGTCAAGCGAACGCGGAGAAGGCATGCGTGTGCGTGGAGGTGCTTATCCGGACCTGGAAGTCGAGCTGAAGCGCTACGTCGACCAGACAAACAAGTCTGGTGTGCCCCTAATGCTGGAAACTCTACGGGACCACGCCAAGGTCGCGGCCCGTGAGTTAGGAATACCCCGGGAGTTCAAGTGTTCGATCGGCTGGGTTCGACGCGCATGTGCTCGCCTCGGCATCCGTTGCTACTCACAGGCTGGTGAAGCCGCAGAGCAGGACATGACCGGAGTCAATACATGCCGCACGCAACTGCCGAAGCTTCTATTGTACCTTGCCGTTAACCCGCGCGATGTCGTGAACTTCGACGAGACCGCCTTGTACACCTCAGCCCTGCCAAGGAAGACGTATGGGCGTGCGCGCGTCGCGGGCCGCAAGATCCCGAAGGATCGAATCACGGTTGCCTACATGTGCAACGCGGATGGAAGCACTATGTGGCGCCCGCTCATCATCTCAAAGTCCAAGCGCCCTGTGGATTTCCGCCCGGACTTTGACCCCGAGCCGTACGTGTACTGGAGGTCCAACAAAAAGGGTTGGATGACCAGCACGGTGAGTGGTTACACCCTGCTGATGACTACACTGTACACTAGTTTAGACGAGGATGCAATTGCCTTTGCGCTTATGACACACACCCCCCTGTCCGCCGTCCCTCCTGACCTTCTACGGCCATGTGTATCCCCACCCCGTACATTGTTTATGCAGTTGTTCACGAACTACATCGAGCTGCTAAACGCCGCGATGTTGGCGGAGGGGAGGGAAATCGTAGTGCTCCTGGACAACGCGAGCAGCCATGGGCTCCTCACAGAGACGGCCGAGACAGAGGACCTGTTCGGCTTTCGGACCCGCAAGTTACGCAACGTCCGGCTGGTCTACTTACCCCCCAACACCACATGCTTCACGCAGCCCCTTGACCAGGGGATCATCAAGGCTGCGAAGATGCGGTACAGGAAACTCTGGCTCGCGGATCTCACCCGCCAGTGGGCTGCCGACAACAGGAGGCCGGGCCTCGCTCGTTACAAACCCAACATGCGCGACGTTGTGTTTTGGGTGCACGACTCGTGGATGACCATTGGGCGGAAGACAGTGCAGCGCTGCTGGTGGAACACGGGGTGTCTCCCACTTGCATGGGAGATGCAGCTCGAGTATGTGCACGTGCAGCCGTGGGTGGACCCGGATGAGGACGATGGCGATGTCACGCCGGAAGAAGTCCTCGGTGGGGTCGGCGCACTCATCACCGGCCTCTCGCTTGGCGGCGCCGCTCTCGCAGCCGAGGAGTACGTGGTTGTGGACGACCAGGTCCCGACGTGCGAGCACGGCGGGGAAGACCCGCTCGCACGTGAGCCGCCATCACCTCCCACCCGGGCTGCATGGGAAGCACCACCGCCGGTCCGCCCCGCAGCTGTGGATGACGAGGGAAGCCGAGACACACGCCGCGCGGCGCGCGCGGCGTGTGAGATGCTCATTGGTTACGCGCGTTCGATCAACATCGCCCCGCGTGACATGACCGTGCTGTTCGACATCCGCAAACCGGCTGTCATCGACCGTCTCGAGAGGGCCAGCCCGGGCCTCAACTTGAACGAGGAGCCGCTCAGCACCGCCTCCTCCACTCCTCCGAGGAGTGGTTTCAGGGCACTCCCGTGGTCCATCACGGGCCCCAACCGTCTCAGGGAGCTGCTGGATAGCGGGGTAACGGCCGCCATGGGGTCCTTTGACGCGCCCGCGGAGTGGATGCGCGGCATGTGATTTCACCTTGAAGGCCCTGGTTTCGATTAAAGGGCAAGTAGCTCACTAAAGTGAGCTACTTCAACGAGAAAAGAGCAGCTACAATGCTCTAGTCAACACATATGTGTTGACGGGATGGATGGTGCTGTTGTGGTTGATTGTGAAACTGCAGGGATTTGTGTCGCGTTACATCCCTTGTTCAAGTAGATGCAGGTTTCAGTTTGTTGGGTTGTTTGTGTTTCTTTGTGTGAGTTGTTGTTGAATGTCGCAACTAGTGTGGTTTCCCTACATGGTAACAAAAAACATGCACAAGGGACAATTGGAGTCAGTCAACAGTACCGTGAATAAGTTAAACATGTAACCCGCCTACAGTTTACAGTCCCCTTCCAACCCTGGCGATGTTCACGGAATCAGGCGAATAGCGTTGCCCATTACAGTCCGATCCCGCCCGCCTACCTGATGTGAGCTTACAAAGGTTCGGAGGTAACGTGAGGATTTTAGAAGGGGAGTTGATTTTTTCTAGGTTGCACTCTATCCAGTGTAAGGCACGTTCAAAGGTATTAATGTTCAAATGTATTAATGTTCAATTGCAGACAGAAAACGTTGGTATAATATAGTGAAAATCGCATTGAAACCCTTGTTGTACGGTGTACAGCTCGGTTGAAATGTTGCGGTACCAGTCAGGGAATTCACGCACAGTTGATGGGTACCACGCAGGGAAGATGGGTACCACGGAGGGAAGATGGGTACCACCAAGGGGCGCGCATGATCTGACGGGTACCATCGAGCCACGTAGGTGTGACGTCAGCGGGCTCAATGTTGGTTACCCAGAATGTAATTACCCTAATCATTCCGCAAAGGGCAACGAAGGAGCAAGTGATGGGCTTTGTTCGCACATCCCTGATGCCCACACCCCGAATTTCGCGAAACTTGTTGCGAAGAAACCATTTCATTTCCTACCACGTCGAGACTCCCTTACTGGTCAGAAAAAGGTAACCATGTTCGTAAGCCGACATATTACAGCCTTATCCAGGTCAAGTGGTTTGCTCCAGAAGAGTTTTCGGTTGAGATCGGCGATGAGGTCCAAAGCTTGAAAAAAAATCGATAGGGAAGAAGTGGAGCGCTTTTTGTTCGGGCGCGGCTTTCGACCATCTCGGCGGGCTGACGAGAGCTTTCTAATTTCCTCCGAAACGCGGTAACGGACTTTCAAAGCGCGTTCGTAGTATATCACTCTGCACGTTAGCACAGCGCCATGGCAACCGCGTCCCTCATAGCGTGCTCAGCGCGAGCTGCGTCGAGCTGTCTCGCGACGCGATCCACTTCGGGAGACGCGCGCCGCGTTTCGCCAGAAGGCCGCGTTTTAGCCAACCCGGTACCCGCCCGTCATTGGGCGCGCATTTTCCTGGCAGATGCGCGACGAACCAGTGGATCAAACTTTAGTGCCGCACAAAGGCTCGCGGTTGCGCCGGTTGCGCCGGTCGTGCCTGCTACTACCTCTGTCGCGCCCATCTCCCGCATCGCGTCAATCTCGAGCCATGGTAGGCGGCGAAGGTTCCTTGTTCCTTCGGCGGCGGCAAGTACTGGGTCTGCTGCTGGCGCGGGTGACACAGATGGGAGTGACTCAACCGAAGGGTACGTGGCAAGTTCAACTTAGGTGTAAAATCCGGAACACGTTATAAATGGGTCCTCTCTCGTTACAGGCTCATTTTGTATTGGAACCACATCGTCGTTAAACCTCATATTTGTGAAATCTGCAGGAGGAAAGAACCCGGGAATCCCAAAGCAGTGGATCCAGAAATCGTGGAGGCCGGCAAAGAGGGACCCCGTCCCCGAGATGCTGACGTGGCTAGGGGTGGGAGTGTTGACGTGGCAGGGGATGCTGACATGGACCTAGAGGCGCTGGCTCGTGAGCTGAACATGGATCTGAAGGAGGTTCAGGAAGCGGAGAGGATGTTTGAAAGTGCCATGTCAGCAGTTGCCTCGCTGGAATCGCTATCTGCCAAGTTCGATCAGATGATTTTGGAAACTTCAGCTTCTGAGTCAGCCGAATCAGAGGATTCTCGCAAGGGTTTAAGAGGGGTTTTGAACGAAGGGGTTTTAGAAAATGCGGGTTTAGAGGGTTTAGAAAGAGGAATGAAAGAGCTGGTAAAGGAGATTGAAGCCGCATCGTCTCGGGTTGAGAGAGAAGGCGTCAGCCAAAAAAGAGAGGGGAGGGAGGAGGTGGATGATGATGGTGCTGACGTGGACTTGGCAGGGGAGGCCATTGCTGACATGGAGAATGACCTGGCGGAGCTGCAACGGTCGGTGGCGGCCACGCTTGCTGAACTGGACCGCACTGCCACGTCACTCACTCCAGAGCTGGGTCTACAGGAAGTGCTGAAGCTTAAGTGAGTGGTGGGAGGGAAATGACTGTCATTGTTAGTGGGGCTTAAGTAAGTGATGGGGCAGCGGGAAGTGCTGAAGCTTAAGCAAGTGCCGGGAGGTTACTTTAGTGGATGGTGGGTCTTCAGTAATTGCTTGGGCTACAATAAGTGCTGAAACGAAAGTGAGCGGCAGAAGTTACTGTTGTGGTTGGTGGGACATAATGAGAGCTGGGGCTGCAGAAAGTGCTTAAGCTCAAGTGAGAGCTGGGGGCTACGGTACGTTAGTGATGGTGCTTATGTAAGTGGTGGGAGTTACAATACCGATGGAACTTAAGTAAGGTGGTGACCAATCTTGCTCTTTCCTCCCCAAACCTCCCCTCCCCCCCTCATCCCCCTCCCCCGTTCCCCCCTCCTGCAATTCCTGAAATCCGTATTCATACACCTTAACCCCAAACCCTGCCCGATCTCAGGAGTTCCATATCTGCTGACGTGGCGCAGATAGAGCAGCAAACAGGCGCCATTCTTGGGTTGCTGCGAGAGGCCCGAGAACTGCAAGAAGCTTCCCAGCAGCCCGGCGCACCAGTTGGAGCGCGCCAGCTGGCGGCGCAGCGGGCCGTGGAGGCCCGGAATGCCATGGCTGCGATGGCAGGTTCGGCCGAAGATGCCCGGTTTTTTTATTTGTTTTGTTTTCATCTTCTTGTACTTTGGCTACAGAATCTCTTGCCGCTGCTATAGCCGACGCTTGTACTGTGATGGTTTTGCATTGGCAGGTTCGGCCGAAGCTGCGGCTGAGACTTTGAAGGCTCTGGAGGAGGAAGGGGCGGCGGACTGGGATGGGGTGGGGGGGGTTAAGGGGGAGGCTATCAGGAGGGCGGGAGAGGAGGTGAAGCGGAGGAGGGGAGAGGAGGGAGGAGCAGAGCAGGATGATGACGATGATGAGTAAGTGGGGTTCGGATGGGAGGGTGAGTGAGTAGAGGGTGCAGTTGAAGAGGGCGCTGGCGGGGTTCTTCTCACCAGCACTTGTCGCCCCACCCTGTGGTGTCGTCTCCTCCCCCCCTGCCCAACCCCCAGCCAGCCGGCCTACATGCTTAAGTGGCACGAGGTGGCAGCAGAGAGGGCGGAGCTCAAGAGGGAGTTGGCAGAGATGTTTAGCAACGCCGTGCAGCAACTGAAGAGGGGGGAGCGGAGTAGGAACCTCACCAGCACCTGTCCCCTTACCCTGTCCTGTCGCCTCCTCTTCCCCTGCCTGCCCAACGCCCAGCCAGCCAGCGTACCTACCCCAGTGGCACGAGGTGGCAGCAGACCGGGCGGAGCTGAAGAGGGAGCTTGCGGAGATGTTCAGCAACGCCGTGCAGCTGTTTCAAGAGGGGGATGAGGAGGGGGCGATGGCGCTGGTGGCTGCTAATGAGGCTGAAGTGATGGGGCAGGTGAGAAATGAACTTGGGGAGGGGGGAGGGGAGTAGGGGATGGGACGATGGGAACGCCATGCAGCTGTTTCAGGAGGGCGATGAGGAGGGGGCGATGGCGCTGGTGGCTGCTAACGAGGCTGAAGTGAGGGAAGGACTGGGGGAGGGGGGAGGGAAGTAGGGGATGGTGGGATGAGGAAGGGGACGAGGAAGGCGCGATGGCGCTGGTGGCTGCTAACGAGGCTGAAGTGATGGGACAGGTGAGGGAAGGAAGATGAGGAGGGGATGATGGGACAGCAGGGGAAGTGGGTGTGGTGTGGAGAAGGCAGCAGTGCTGCTGGCGCTGTTGTGAGAGACGACTCTGCTGTTTGTGAAACGCGATTACCACCACCTTCCCTTCCTGGCCCTCCTCTCCTCTTATTGCCGGGTAGCGGCAGGGGAGGCGGGTGGGGAGCAATCAGCAGTGCTGCTGGCGCTGTTGTGAGTCGTCTCTACTGTTTGTGAAACGCAATTACCACCACCTTCCCTTCCTGGCCCTCCTCTCCTCTTATTGCCAGGTGGCGGCAGGGGAGGCAGGTGTAGAGCAATCAGCAGTGCTGCTGGCGCTGTCGCAGCTGCTGCTGGGGATGGGGGAAGAGGCCAAGGGGAGGCAGTTGATGGACCAGGTGAGTTGAGTGGGACAGGGCTGTAGGGGGAGTGTGGGGTATGTAAGTGTGAGGGATTTTAAGTTTGAGGGAATAAATAAAGTTTGAGGGATTTAACGCTAGCGAGTTAGACATGCTTCTTCCCCCTCGACTTATGTAGCTCCTCTACTCTCCTCTCCTCTTCTCTCCTCTTCCCTACCCTCCCTCCCCATGCCCATAGCATTTTCCTACCCTGCCCTCCCTTTTCTCCCCTTCCTCACTTCCCCTCCCTCCCCTCCCTCCCCTCTCCCCCAATCTTCCCCGCTCCCCCAATCTTCCCCGCTAGGCGCTCGCCCTCGTGGCCTCTCACCCCTCAGATCCTCTACTGGACGACCTGCTAGAGAATGCAGGGGACATGTATTACGGCATGGACATGTGGTGGGGGTATAGGCATGTGCTTATCCTTCCTCTCTCCCCTCCCTCCCTTCCATTCCCCGCCATTCTCCTCTCCCAGGGCGCTCGCCCGCGTGGCCTCTCACCCCTCGGAGCCTCTCCTGGGCGATCTACTCTAGAACGCGGGCGGCATGTGTTATGGCATGAAGAGATGTGTGTTATGGCATGAAGAGATGTGCTTTTCTTTCTCCACTCATCTCTCCCTCCCCCTCCCCCAGCTCCTCTCTTCTGTTCCCCCAGGCTCTTGCCCTCGTGGCCTCTCACCCCTCCGAGCCTCTATTGACAATCTGCTAGAGAATGCGGGGGACATGTATTATGGCATGGAATAAAAAAAGTATTTTCTTACTCCTTATGCCATTCACATCTACCTTCCCCCTCCCACTCCTCTCTTCTGTTCCACCAGGCGCTCGCCCTCGTGGCCTCTCACCCGTCCGAGCCTCTGCTGGACGACCTGCTAGAGAACGCAGGGGACATGTATTACGGCATGGGCATGTGCTTTTCTTTCTCCTTATGCAACTCCTCCCTCCACCCCCTACCCTCCACCCCCTCTCCCTAGGCGCTTGCCCTCGTGGCCTCTCACCCGTCCGAGCCTCTTCTCGACGACCTGCTAGAGAACGCAGGGGACATGTATTACGGCATGGAGATGTGGGATGAGTCGATCAAGATGTATAAACGTGCAGTCAACGTGCAGAGGGAACTGGCAGGTGGGATGGGGGAGGTGTGGGGGTTATGAATCCGACAGTTGATACCACACAAGTGTTACGGCATGGAGATGTGGGATGAGTCGATCAAGATGTACAAACGTGCAGTCAACGTACAGAGGGAGATAGCAGGTATCGTACCGTCCATATGAAGAGGGAACTGGCAGGCGGGATGCAGAACAAACAAGCTCTTTTCCTGTCACTCTGCACCATTCTGCACCGCTCTGCACTCTTCCACGACTCTCCCACGCTCTCTGTTCACCAGGGGGCGAGCACTACCTACAGTCGGCCACTCTTTGCAGCCTCGCCAATGCGTTAATGGAAGCGCAGAGGCACGAGGAGGCGGAGGAGGTGCAGAGGTAAATGGGATTGACTGTCATTGCTCCCTCAATCTCCCACTCTTCACCACTCTCTGTTCCACAGGGGGCGAGCACTACCTGCAAGCGTCCACCCTCTGCAGCCTCGCGAATGCGTTAATGGCGGCTCAGAGGCACGAGGAAGCGGAGGAGGTGCAGAGGCGAGCAGCATAGACTGTCGTTGCACTCCCCCACTCTAAGTTTTCTTTGCGCTCCCCTCACTCTCCCATGCTGCCAGGAGGAGAGCACTACCTGCAAGCATCCACCCTGTGCAGCCTCGCCAATGCGTTAATGGAAGCGCAGAGGCACGAGGAGGCAGAGGAGGAGCTAGATGGGCTACCTTGCCTCCGTGTCACTCTTATCCTTTCCACTCTCCACCACTCTCTGTTCCCCAGGGGGCGAGCACTACCTGCAAGCCTCCACCCTGTGCAGCCTCGCCAATGCGTTAATGGAGGCGCAGAGGCACGAGGAGGCGGAGGAGGTGCAGAGGCTGTATGAGGTTGAGTGTCATTACTCTTCTCAATCCTTGCCTGTGTTCTTGCAGGGGGCGAGCACTACCTGCAAGCATCCACTCTCTGCAGCCTCGCCAATGCGTTAATGGAAGCGCAGAGGCACGAGGAAGCAGAGGAGGTGCAGCGGCGAGCGGCCGAGCTGTATGAAGCTGCCAGGGGGGAGAGGTCCCGGGGGGTAGCGACGATGCTGGTGCGGCTGACACAGATTCAGATGGAAGGAGGACGGGTGGAAGAGGCTGAGGGCAGCATTCTACGGTGAGTGGTGCTTTTGATTAAGCTTCTATTCTGGTTACACTCGAAGGTGTTGCTGTGCTGGGGCGACTTTTGAGGCGAGCAGCCGAGCTGTATGAAGCTGCCAGGGGGGAGCGGTCCCGGGGGGTGGCGACAATGCTGGTGCGGCTGACACAGATTCAGATGGAGGGGGGGCGGGTGGAAGAGGCAGAAGGCAGCATTCTGCGGTGAGTGGGTGGTGCCTTTGCTGGGGGTTTCATTCTGGTCCGACTCAGATTGAGAGGTCCGGGGGGTGGCGACGATGCTGGTGCGGCTGACACAGATTCAGATGGAAGGAGGACGGGTGGAAGAGGCTGAGGGCAGCATTCTGCGGTGAGTGGGTGGTGTTTTGTTGGGTTGAATCCTGGTCTGGCTCGATACTAGGTCCCGGGGGGTGGTGACGATGCTGGTGCGACTGACACATATTCAGATGGAGAGGGGGACGGGTGGAAGAGGCTGAAGGGAGCATTCTGCGGTGAGTGGGTGGTGTTTTGTTGGGGGTTTCATTCGGGTCCGACTCAGATTGAGAGGTCCGGGGGGTGGCGACGATGCTGGTGCGGCTGACACAGATTCAGATGGAGGGGGGGCAGGTTGAGGAGGCTGAAGGCAGCATTCTGCGGTGAGTGAGTGGTGTTTTGTTGGGGTTATAATTCTGGTCTGGCTTAACAAGAGGTCCCGGGGGGTGGCGACGATGCTGGTGCGGCTGACACAGATTCAGATGGAGGGGGGGCGGGTTGAGGAGGCTGAAGGCAGCATTCTGCGGTGAGTGAGTGGTGTTTTGTTGGGGTTATAATTCTGGTCTGGCTTAACAAGAGGTCCCGGGGGGTGGCGACGATGCTGGTGCTCCAATCCAATATATCAAACGATACCGTCTTATATAGCCTATGTATGTTTTGTTGTGTCCCTTTGACGCACAGTGTCTTGCGTCCCTCCCTCACTTCCCTTCCCACCCTCTTTCCCCCACATCCACACCAACAGCGCCAAGGACATTCGGATAGAGAAGGAGGGACTCACGTCAGTGGAGGCAGTATTCTGTCCGTCCAACCCACAGTGTCTTGTATCCCTTACTGAATCCTTCCCCAATTCCCTCCCTACTCCCCTCCACTCCAACCCTCACACCAACAGTGCCAAGGAGATTCTGATAGAGAAGGAGGGGCTGACGTCAATGGAGGCAGCAATTGTGTCCGACCCACAAAGTCTCGTATTCCTCCCTCATTTCTCCCCCACTTCTCCCCCACTTCTCCCCCACTTCTCCCCCACTTCTCCTTCACACCAACAGCGCCAAGGATATTCTGATAGAGGAGGGGCTGACGTCAATGGAAGAATTGTTGTCTCCCAGCAAACAGTGTCGCGTATTCTCCCTCTATTATCTCTTGTTCTCCCCCCCCCACACCAACAGCGCCAAGGATATTCTGATAGAGAAGGAGGGGCTGACGTCAATGGAAGAATTGTTGTCTCCCAGCAAACAGTGCCGCGTATTCTCCCTCTATTATCTCTTGTTCTCCCCCCCCCCACACCAACAGCGCCAAGGATATTCTGATAGAGAAGGAGGGGCTGACGTCAATGGAAGAATTGTTGTCTCCCAGCAAACAGTGTCGCGTATTCTCCCTCTATTACCTCTTGTTCTCCCCCCCCCACACCAACAGCGCCAAGGATATTCTGATAGAGAAGGAGGGGCTGACGTCAATGGAAGAATTGTTGTCTCCCAGCAAACAGTGCCGCGTATTCTCCCTCTATTATCTCTTGTTCTCCCCCCCCCACACCAACAGCGCCAAGGATATTCTGATAGAGAAGGAGGGGCTGATGTCAATGGAAGAATTGTTGTCTCCCAGCAAACAGTGCCGCGTATTCTCCCTCTATTATCTCTTGTTTTCCCCCCCCCACACCAACAGCGCCAAGGATGTTCTGATAGAGAAGGAGGGGCTGACGTCAATGGAAGAATTGTTGTCTCCCAGCAAACAGTGCCGCGTATTCTCCCTCTATTATCTCTTGTTCTCCCCCCCCCACACCAACAGCGCCAAGGATATTCTGATAGAGAAGGAGGGGCTGACGTCAATGGAAGAATTGTTGTCTCCCAGCAAACAGTGCCGCGTATTCTCCCTCTATTATCTCTTGTTCTCCCCCCCCCACACCAACAGCGCCAAGGATATTCTGATAGAGAAGGAGGGGCTGACGTCAATGGAAGAATTGTTGTCTCCCAGCAAACAGTGCCGCGTATTCTCCCTCTATTATCTCTTGTTCTCCCCCCCCCACACCAACAGCGCCAAGGATATTCTGATAGAGAAGGAGGGGCTGACGTCAATGGAAGAATTGTTGTCTCCCAGCAAACAGTGCCGCGTATTCTCCCTCTATTATCTCTTGTTCTCCCCCCCCCACACCAACAGCGCCAAGGATATTCTGATAGAGAAGGAGGGGCTGACGTCAATGGAAGAATTGTTGTCTCCCAGCAAACAGTGCCGCGTATTCTCCCTCTATTATCTCTTGTTCTCCCCCCCCCACACCAACAGCGCCAAGGATATTCTGATAGAGAAGGAGGGGCTGACGTCAATGGAGGCAGCAATTGTGGAGTTCACTCTCGCTCAAGTCAGACAAGCACAAGGTGGGTGGGTGGGTGGGTGGGTGGGTGGGCTTATAAAGAGTCCCACGTATAAGAATTAGTATAAGGAAGGAGGTCAAAGAGAAGGAGGAGGAGAGGGGCTGACGTCAATGGAAGCAGCAATTGTGGAGTTCACTCTCGCTCAAGTCAGGCAGGCGCAAGGTGGGTGGGCTTGTAATGAGTCCTGCTTATAACGAGTCAGGAGAGGGTGTGTAGGAGTGGAGGGGCTAACGTCGATGGATGCAGCAATAGTGGAGTTCACTCTTGCTCAAGCCAGGCATGTACAAGTCCGCTATCTGCCTTTTACCGAGATAAAAAGGTGACTTTTGAGTCGACTCAAAAGTCATCTCAAGCCAGGCATGTACAACAAGTCCGCTATCTGCCTTTTACCGAGATCAAATCAAAAGGCCTTTTGATCTTCGAAGAGGGAGTGGAGAAGCAAAGGGGGAAAGTTACTGAGGTGTTTGTTTTTCTCCACCTGCTCCCCCCTTCCCAACCAATCTTCCTCGTCCCCCACCTCCCATCTCCTCATATCCCCAGGTCGCCCTGATCTAGCAGTGGGGGTGTTGGAGAGCGGCCTTCGGATATTCGAGCAGACAGTGGAGAAGCAGAGGAGGAAGGGACTGAGGTGTTTGCATCTCTCCTCCGCCTGCTTCCCTCTCCCCAACCCTACCCCCAATTCCCCGTCGATGCTCTCCTCATCTCCCCAGGTCGCCCTGATCTAGCAGTGGGGGTGTTGGAGAGCGGCCTTCGGATAGGCTAAACTAAGACGCTTGCGTTTATCCACGCCCTCCCTCTTCCCAACCCCTCCCCCTGGTTCCCCATCTCCCGTCTCCCATCTCCCCAGGTCGCCCTGATCTTGCCGTGGGGGTGTTGGAGAGCGGCCTTCGGATATTTGAGCAGACAGTGGAGAAGCAGAGGAGGAAGGGACTGAGGTGTTTGCATCTCTCCTCCGCCTGATTCCCTCTCCCCAACCCTACCCCTCCCCAATTCCCCATCGATGCTCTCCTCATCTCCCCAGGTCGCCCTGATCTTGCCGTGGGGGTGTTGGAGAGCGGCCTTCGGATATTCGAACAATCGGTGGAGCAGCAGAGGAGGAAGGGCGAGGCGGGAGACGCTGCTGAGCTGGCAGGAGCAGGCGCTGAGCTGGCCTGGGGTGACGATGAGCTGGCGGGGACTCCCCGTGCCCTGGTGAACGCGCTTGGAGCATCAGCGTTCCCGGCCTTCGAGCAGGCGCAGATTGAACTGAGCATGCTATACGACATTCTAGACAGGCGAGTGTGTCTGGCATACCATGGTGCGCATGTGTGTGTGTGCGGCATGCGCTAGGCTAGGCATGTAGTCAGCATTCCCGGCCTTCGAGCAGGCGCAGATTGAACTGAGCATGCTATACGACATTCTAGACAGGTGAGTGTGGTGTACGCTGGATTGTGCAGGTGAGTGTGGTGTACGCTGGATTGTGCAGGTGAGTGTGGTGTACGCTGGATTGTGCAGGTGAGTGTGGTGTACGCTGGATTGTGCAGGTGAGTGTGGTGAGTGTGATAGGCTTGAATCGCTGTCAGAGTCAGCTCACCCAATTCTGCCTCGCCACCTCCCACCTTCTCCTTCCCGCCACATCCACTCAGAACTATCCGTACCTGTCCTCTCCTTCACTCCCTTCAACAGGGATGAAGGCGCGTGTGCCGTAACGGAGAAGCTTCTATCAGCCAAGGAGCTTGCATGCAGTCGGCCCCCTCTCCCCGGCGCTCGTCCCTCCCCTCATCCAACTCGCCCAATCCCGCTCAACTCACTTCTCCACTCTCTCCCCACTTCTCCTCTCTCTCTCTTCTCTTCATCCCTTCAACAGGGATGAACACGCGTGTGCAATAAGGGAGAAGCTCATTTCAGCCAAGGAGCATGCAGTCGGACCCCTCTCCCCGGCCCTCGTCCCGCCCCTCATCCAGCTCGTGTAATCTTGCATCACCATCGCCCCACTTCTCCTGTCTCCTCTCCCCTCCTCTCCCCTTCTCTTCACATATCTGAGCAGGGACGAGGACGCATGTGCCATAAGGGAGAGGCTCCTTTCAGCCAAGGAGCTTGCAGTCAGCCCTCTCACTCCAACCCTCGTCCCTCCCCTCATCCACCTCGCCCAATCCCACATGACCATCGCCCCACGTCTCCGTTCTCGTCTCTTCTGCTCTCCTGTCTCCTCTCCTCCCCTCTCCTCTCCCCTCCTCTCCTCTCCTCTCTTCATCTCTCGAACATAGACAAATAAGCGTGTACCGTAAGGGAGAAGCTTCTTTCAGCCAAGGAGCTTGCATGCGGTCAGCCCCCTCTCCCCGGCCCTCGCTAACGCACGCCTTACTTCTCCTGTCTCCTGTCCCCTTCTCTCTTCTCTTCATGTTCTTTCAGGGATGAAGACGCGTGTGCCATAAGAGAGAAGCTTCTTTCAGCAAAGGAGCTAGCCGTCGGTCCTCTCTCCCCAGCTCTCGTCCCTCCCCTCATCCAACTCGCACAATCCCGCCTCACCATCGGCCAATCAGAGGGCGCGGAGCGGCTGCTCCGCCGCGCGCTGCAGATTGCCAGGTCAGCGGTGCCAGCTGGTGACGCGCGGCTGGCCGTGCCGATCGAGCGCCTGGCGCTGTGCCTGGCTCAGATGGAGCGATTTGAGGAGGCTGAGGTGCTCGCGAGGGAGCATCTGATGATCGCTGAGGGGGCCGTGGAGAAAGCAGGATTGAGAGGAGACACAGTGGAAATGCTAGGTAAGATTCTGGTTGACTTTGGTTGACTTGCGTTGACTGGGATAGTGGGTAGAGCGCTTAGAGCTGTGTGTGGCTCAGATGGAGCGATTCGAGGAGGATGAGGTGCTGGCGAGGGAGCACCTGATTATCGCTGAGGGAGCTGTTGAGAAGGCAGGCGTGCAGGGGGATACACTGGAGAGATGCTCGGTAAGAGTCTGGTTGACTTTTGTTGACTCTGGTTGACTTCGTTGATTTTTGTTGACTCTGGTTGACTTTGGTTGACTTGTGGGGTGCTGGGTAAGTCGCTCATTTGTTTGATTTTACTTTTCCACAAGGACCTAGTGGCTGGCAAGGGAGCATGTGATGATTGCTCACCCTTCCCCTTCCCCTTCCCCTTCCCCTTCCCCTTCCCCTTCCCCTTCCCCCCGTCCTCGCCAGCGGAAGCGGAGCGCAACCTGGCTCTCATCCTTATGGCCACAGGGGGGGCAGAGGCAGTAGAGGCTGGCCCTACTCTTCACACACCCATCCCTTCCCCACACTGGTTTCCCTCCTGTCTCTTCCCCCCCTTCACCCCTACCCCAGCGCAAGCACAGCGCAACAACCTAGCGCTCGTCCTCATGGTCACGGGCCGTGCAGAGGCAGCAGCTCTTGCCCCTCCGCCTCTTGCACTCACCCCCTCCCACCACTCTCTACCGCTACTCTCTCCTTCTCCACCCATGTCTCCCCCCACACAGCGCAAGCCCAGCGCAACCTGGCGCTCATCCTCATGGCTACAAGGCGGGCAGAGGCAGCGCAAATTTGCCCCGCCCCCCCACCCATCCCCCAACCCCCATGCACCGTCTTTCCTCCTATCTCTCCACCATCTCCCCATGCTTGTGTTTCTCCTCAAACCCCCCCTCCCCCCCTACCCCAGCGCAAGCCCAGCGCAACCTAGCGCTCATACTCATGGCCACAGGGCGGGCAGAGGCAGCGGAGCTGCTACTGAGGAAGGCTTTAGCGAGGATGGAGGGAGCAGTGGGGCCCATGGGGGATGCGGCGCTGGTGATTGCTGGTTCTCTGGTGGTGAATCTGCAGCAGCAGGGGAGGGATGATGAGGCTGAGCCGCTGCTTAAGAGATTGGCCCTTGCAGAAGCTGCGGCTACTGGGAACTTGTAACAAATTGGCTTGTAAAGAGGATGACATGGAAAGGCAGGGTAGTGGTGATTGCAGGGTCTCTGGTGGTGAATCTGCAGCAGCAGGGGAGGGACGATGAGGCTGAACCGCTGCTTAAGAGACTGGCACTTGCTGAGGCTACATCTACGGGGAATCTGTGATGAGGGAGCTTGTAACGAGTTGGCTATTAAAGCCGTTGGCCCAAATTGCACAAGCTTTTAAAAGTTGACGCGAGGGGGTTTTCCTGGTCTGGGGTTTGGCGAGTGATTCCGATTTCGTTTTCTTCGTTGTTTTCGCCAAACCCAGCCTGCCCTCGTATTTCACCCTGGGGGTTGGGTCAGTCTCCGATAGTCCCAAATTGCAGGTGCGCTTGTTTTCAAAGCTTGCACACTCAACTTCGTCAAGTTTTAAAAGCTTGACCAGCGCGATCCGCAATTTGGGCCGCGGGCTTTAAGGAGGATGAGAAGGAAAAGGGTGGGCCAGGATGTGTGGTGATTGCAGGGTCCCTGGTGGTGAATCTGCAGCAGCAGGGGAGGGAAGATGAGGCTGAACCACTGCTGAAGAGGTTGGCTCTTGCCGAGGCTGCGGCTACTGGGTAATTGTGATGGGGAAGCATGTAACGAGTTGGTCTGTGATAGGAGTTAAAAAACAAAGGTAAAAGAAATGTAGTAGTTTTCTGGGTTTGCTGTGATACACAAAGCAATATTTCTAAAGCAGTGATAGTGTTGCCATATTACCATGCCACATTGAGTTTTTCGGAATTGCGAACACTGAGCACTGAACTCTAGTAGACTATATCGCGGTCCCAAATGGTCCAACTGGGTCTGATTCACTATCGAGGATGTTTCACTGGTTTATCCGTGGAGCAGCCGAGCCGAGCCATGGTGACATGCTGTCCCTTCTCCCCCGCTTCTTACGGTCTCCGCTTCCAGCTCGATTTTCCCGTCCACGCGCCGGTCGCTGCGTATCCCGAGCCCGACGGAGCGATGCTTACGGTGGCTGACGTAGCGGCTGGTTGTCCGAGGTGAATTTTGCCTCTCAATCCAGTAGCATCATCACGGCGCGGAGCGGATATTTACACCAGAAGTGTTAGTTATCTAGAACCGCGAGTGCACTGCACACCCAGTCTGGTCCTTCATAATACTGCTATACCGTTCCAACACCTAGTTATCCGTTCTCCTTTTTTTCTCGGAAGGCCTAATAGCACGCGGCAGCGGAGGCGAGCGTTATACTCCTCTCCATCCTGCCTTAGCTCGTTCGCACCGATTTACTCCTTGATTCGGCGAACGCTCTCGTCGATTTGGCTAAGCGTATGGAGGGTCGGATGGCTGGCTCGCATATCGAGGACCCCTGCATTAGCCGGACTGACCCGTTCCCCTCAGTTCCCCCATCCGCCTCCCCCCCCGCCTCCCCCTCCGCTCCCCCCTTTGCTTCCTCCTCTGCTCCTCCCTCCGCTCCCCCCTCCGCCTCCCCCTCTGCTTCCCCTTCCGCCCCCCCCTCCGCCTTCCCGCTGGACGACAGCACGCTTTACCGCGTTCTCCGCTGCCTTTCCGCGCGCGAGCTCGCGCGGGCGGCGTGCGTGAGCGCGCAGTGGCGCGCCGTGTCGCGCGACGAGAGCCTCTGGGCGGCGCTCGCGCGGGACATGTGGCCCTCATTGCAGTCACGCCGCGGACAGTCACTAGCGCTGATCGATCCACCGAGTAAACCCCGACGGAAGGCGTATCAGCAGCAGCAGCCGCTGCTACCGCAACAGCAGCAGGAACCGCAGCAGCAGAAGTCGCAGCAACTGGAGCAGCAGCAGCAGCAGCAGCTAAGGATGATTCCTTGCAGCAGCCGAGCCATCTCTTCCCACGCCTCCATCTCTGACTCTACCTCCCATATTCTACCCAGTGCAGAAACTTGCGCTGGCTTTGCTTTACAAGAAAACTCGTTAAAACAACTTTCAGTCGAAGAACTCTCACCAGAAGCACATTCGTTCCGCGCGTTCGCCTTTCGCCGCCTCAGCTGTGGGCCCCCTCGCCCGGCCGTCTCACCCCTCTCGTTCCCATCCCTCACCTTCTTCCTTGACATTTCCCACCACGGCCAATCACGGCTGTCCATGGCGCTCCAGCAGAAAGATCTGATTCTGTCAGAGACTGCTGATCTGGGGGATTTCGATTTTGTTGTCAAGAACCTGAACGCTGCGCATGAGGACAGCCCCTTGTGGCGGCCACACCCTGATTCTACCAATTCCTCCTCTTCCTCGTCGTCCTCCTCATTCTCCATTTACTCCTCTTCCTCGTCTGCTCCACTCTCCGTTCCAGATTCAGTCGCCACTGCTTCCGTCTCCTCCTCTTCCTCCACTCCCTCCTTAACCGCCACTAACCCCATCAATTCTTCCTCCCCCGTTCTGGCCCCCTCCCCCACTTTCTTATCCGACTACCACAAGATGTCCCACATGGCAATGCAAGGCCCGGATCGGCCGTCTGCGTTTGCGCAGGAGCTCTCTGCGCAGCTGCACGTGCAGAGGCCTTCAGACGGGCGCATGGTGCAGTTGGTCAGCTGCCAACCTCAGTACCAAGCCGATGATTTAGGCCTGTTGGTGTTTTGTTCCGTCTTGCCTGCACTGGTGTTTGGGACAGGGCTTTTAGCTGAAGTTGACCTGGAATATAGGGGGATTATAAGAGGAGGGGGGTCGGGGAGAAGAGGGAGTGCCAGGGATTGTGTTGAGGGAAGTAGAAAGGGTTTTCATGGTGTTGGTGGTGGTGGAGTTGAAAATGTGGCGAGGGACGATGAGGATGAGGTGAGGTGGGAGCTGCGTGGTTGCCGGTTGTGCATAAAGCGAAGCGAGTCTTTTTGTGTTGCCACTTGCAGCCAGTTTGCTGAATACCTTGGTTATTTACAATGGATGTGATGAGTTTCAGTAGTCTTATTTCCATATTGATAAAAGTGTCTGTTTATTATACATTTGTTTTTTTTGCTGCAGTTGTGAAGGTGCTCAATAACAAAGAAAGGGATCATCGACGGTCGTAGTGAGGGCAACAAGGAGAACAGGTGACTAGATGGCCACGTGGCTTTTGACACCATTGAGAAATGACCAATCATGCTGCTCTTTTCAAGCCGTGATGGCAAAAGCAAGACAGAAGTGACGTGGCGCGCAGGGGTCTGCCATTTGTCCGTGACATCTCCCGATTCCCGAAGCTGGTTCAGGATCACGACAACCCGCAAGAAGTAAACGATCTAGCCGTCCATTATCCGTCCATCGAATTTAGCCGTTCGATGGCTGCCTCGATGTCGTCACCTCTCTGCGCTGTTTACGCTGCACGCAATACAATGCACCCGCCAACAATGCCATCACATGGGCTGGCACTTTCACATCATGTGACCCGCTGAAGTCATCTCATGGTCGGAGACTCGGAGCGACTGCGCACGGCGACTGCGCACGGCGACCGCAGCGGTGAAGAAGCGCGCAAGACGACACCTTCCTCCGCCCACCATTCTAGAATCACCGCAAAAGCAGATCAGACTCGGTGCGCAACTCATCCCTCGGCGCAGAGACTGAACTGAACTACCCCCCCTATGTATTCTCCCTTGATCCCACGCTTTTCTGCCGGTCCGCAGGTCACTTGTTCTCCGCTGAGTCCCCTTCCTGTCTTGGCGGGTCATAATGGTTGCCTCGAAAATCTAAACCGTTGTAAATATAGAACCAACCGTTTCAGAACGCAAAGCAGAAAAGTCTCGTGGGTGTACTGTAGTCTTGATTTCATCCGTAACTTCTCGAACCCAATCCAACCACAATCCATCCAAGGCGACAATCTCAGGGATGGAGAAGCTGCCTGAAGCGAGGGGAGCTACAAATGCAAACCCTAGCATTTGAACATATGTTTTTCAACCTTCTGTGCTTCTTTCTCCTTGAAACAATTTTCAAAATGGAGGAAAGTAATTGACTAGCACGGGTCTTCAACGCCATTACCTCCCCTACTTTCATGCTATCTTCTCCTTTCCGCAACCGTGATTTTTGCTGGCAAATGATTTTGGATTCTCCGAACAACAACCCCATTCCGAGGGGTATCAAAGAATATGCTCGCTGCGCGAGCCCTCCGCTGCCTGCTCCTGCGCCTGGGAAGAGTGTGCAACAGGAGGGATCCAAATATGCTGCTGGTGGTGGTGTGAGCTTCGCACTAGCACTTGACATCTTTGGGACTACTGTAGAAGCCGTGCAGGAATCATCCAGTATCTCTGGTGTCATTAGCAGCGGTTCGGTTGATATCTCTAGGCAGCTTGAAGATGGGTGGATTGGAAACCCTAGTGGATCGGTCAAAGAAGCCGCTGAGGAGTCAACCAGTAACAGGTAGGTTGACATGAGGAGTGAGAAGTCAATTGTTCTTGTTATCCAAAATTGATTGCACTTGCCAACTCGTGCTAGCGTCTTGCTGTGCTGATTTTTCTCTCTCTCTCTTCTCTTTCTCTTCAGCGAACCTGTCAGTCAGACAACGGAGTTGCCAAGTGGGGTGGATAACGTAGAGGTAGAGAGCTACCTTGTCAGTGCGATTACTGACCCCTCTGAGGATGAGAATGATGCGACCACTACCTCCGCTAGCACGCAAAGCTCTGCTGGTGCACCACATGGTGTTGCCAATGACGTCGCCGCTGGTTGCGACAAAGTCTGCTCAGAGAAGGTAATTATTTATCGTCATTCGGGTTAAGGACTTGCCTCGCTTGTCAGTCCCTCCCTGCCCTGCTGTGTTTTTTCCTTTCGTAACCCCTCCTCTGTGTTTCGCTCTCGATTTCTTGTTCAGGTTGCTCATCTTAAGTCTTCCCTCAAGGGATCGGCGCCGCGTCCCTCTGGGCTTCGCGTCACTTGGGCTGCTGACGTGTACGACCCCATTCCGAGCCTCATCTCCCACACTCTTGGGAGGCGCAACCAACGCAAGATTTATTCCAGGAGGCAGCGGAATGAACACGCGGGGAAGGGGAAGCATGGAAAGGGTTCCAAGAGCAGCAAGTCCTCCAAGAAATCTTCCAAGGAGAACGTTTCGGAGAAGGTGCCGGCATGGGAGGCGGAAAAACCACCTGCTAGCTGTCCCGCAGCAAGCAGCCAGGATAAGCTTTGTGAATCGACAGGGGAACGCGCAAATGTTCAGGACGTTGTCAAGGAGGATACCGAGACCGCAGTAGAGGAGAAGAAGGACGATTCTTTAGAAGACGACGGGTGGTCTATCGTTGTTCCCAAGTCTCATGCTCGCCGATCAGGTCTCGGAGCTCACTCGCCGTCTTCCAGCCCTCCCCTGGCCAGCTGCAGTCCGCCAAAGAAAGATTTCGCTCTTGCTTCGATAGAAAGCCTCGAGACAACAAGCATCACTGTCTTGGATGCAGAGGAATGCCTGCCTTCGTCCAGTAAACCTGACGGCGTTTCGCTGTTCATTAAGGTACGTAAGAGTGGTTCTTTTTGCGTTCATCTCAGCATTCATTTCTCTCTTTTGCCGCGGACTTCGATCTGACCCTCGTTTTCCATTTTCCGTGCCTTGTATCTGTCAGGTTGGCAGTTCAGGTTTGGAGGAGGACAACCAGCTGTTTTCTCCTGAGAGCACTTTGGAAAACCCGGTCTTCACGTAAGTAGGATCCGTGGCAGGCAGCACATGGCATTTGTTTGCATAAATATGTTAACAAATATGTATGTAGAAACATACGTACTTCTAACTTACTAGTCCTTCCGATGTCTCCAGGTCCAGAGAGGGCTCCCCTGAGCTTTCTTCCAGTCCACCTGCTTCAATCAATCTTCTGGAGCGGGCTGGAACTTCGGTCTTCATTCAAGAGCATCAGTCAGATGTCAAGCAGAGGTCTAGCACGCACAAGTCAAGTTCGCTCCTTGCCAAGGTCTCCATGGAGCGGCTGGCTGGTGCCACAGCTCTAGCACATGGGAAGGTGCAGGAGGGAAGGCGGCTGATTTTCAGTGCGTACATGTCTGCTCGGAAACATGGAATGAAGGGTGAAGTGGCTCGCTGCCTCAGGTATGCAGATTTTTGGTGTTGTGTATCAGAGTAGTTCGTCTTCTTTTTAGAATCTGAATGGTTCTCTTTTTTTATTGTGTTCAGGCTGATTGCAGACACCCAGACGGGTCAAGATCGGCTCAGTAGTTTGAATGCTGCTGTTGAAGGGCTTGCCGTGGCTGGTGTGCCATTTGAACATGCTGAAGCTCTACTGTGTCTTGCACAAGCTGAGGTGTGTACTGATTTCTCCATTTCTGCTCACATTAATATCTGAGTCTGGTGGGCTGACCTTATGATCCTTTTATTTTACATATTTTGCAGGTCCAAGAATCGATCAGTCTCTCAGGATTTGCATACACAAGCATTGACATAGTGGCTTCGCTCGAGAAGCTAAGCTATAGCCTTGAAGCGCCACAGCAGAATGCACGCTTGATGAAGGCCAAGTCTCACCTCAGGACTGCTGCTGGCCTGCTAATGACTGAGCTTTCATCTTCCAAATATCGTTCTTACTCCAAGAGCGTCATGAGCCAGTACAACTCCCCTACCGGGAGAAGGAAGAGCAGCAGCGGTTCCAAGAAATCCAAGAAGCCTGATTTGTTGGAAGAGGAGAGGTCCACACTGTCAGGCCTATTGGGAAGTGTTCATGAGCTGACTGGGAAGGTGGGGATTCTGATGCAGCAGTTAGACGATGCCAACGTCGCCCTCCATGCTGCTGCCTCAAATGAGGACTGGCGCAAAGGCAGTCTGGGAAGAGGCAGCTCAGGTTGATGGATTATTGAAGCACCTTCTTGCTGGAAAGTTCTCTAGCAGGACTGTTGCTGCTTGAATGTTGTCAACTTGTTAGACAGTCTGACTCTGGCTGTACAGTATTCTGCTTGGAGGCAAATAATGTACTTAGATGCTCTTAGAATATGCATGTGCTAGGTCACTAGTCAAATTGTGCAGTAGAATTTATGGCAGATAAACGGATTCTTCACAATCCATGAACTGGAAGAGGTGGAACTCATTGTGCACTAGATAGTTTCAGGGTACCATGTAGCAAACTAGGACGGTGGAATTTATGGCACATAGCGTAAATCTTCTTCTTTACAGTCCGTAAGGAGGAATCGGCAGAATTTATATGGCACTGTACACGCACATCCACCTAGTCCTGCCACCTCACGTGTCAGCACGACCTGAGTGCCTATCATCGCAGCGCAACCTTCTTCCGTCACCTTCAAATCTTGTTTGCTTTATTGCTTTTCAACACGTACTCTTTCTTAGTTTCCTGCTTTTCGCCGCGTTGTGCTGTTTCTTAGTTTCCTGCTCCTGGCAAGCGGTACAATCTCGTTTCGGGTCACAGAGCCCGATAAAGCCTTCGCAACCGGTGAAGGCCACGCTGACCGCTAACAGCTTCGCAGATCGTTCACCGCTACGCAGTTTGTCAACGTTTACGTAGACCGTCGAAGTTTGCACAGTCCGTCTCTTAACACGCCTACGATTTACGACGGCACGGGCCGCCATGCTGGGAAACATAGCGCAGCGAATTCAAGACGCCTTTTTCCAGAGCCTGGAGCAGGCCGGGTGCGTGAGCCTGGACACATACGGTCCTGCTTCTTCCGACGAGGAATACGACGAAGAAGATGACGAGGACGGTGACGAGTCTCGTAGCGCCGAATCCGCCGCTATGACTCCCACAGGACTCGTCGGATTCGGGAGCTTTTTACGGAATAACCCGCGGACGGATAAGTTTAAAGTGGACCGGTTTCACCATATCGAGTTCTGGTGCGGAGATGCTACTAACACGTACGGACGGTTTTCGTGGGGTCTGGGGCTGCCGCTCGTGGCGAAATCGGACCAGACGACGGGTAACCACACGTTCTGCAGTTTCGTGCTGAAAGCTGAGGACCTGGCGCTGGTGTTCACGGCGCCTTATTCCGAAGCAGCAGCTATAACGCGTACAGAACCTCTGGGGGGAGTAGTTGGGGAGACTGGACACTCCCGAAATTCCCGAGTTCCTTTCCCAGGATTTTCACCACGGGCTGCCCGTGAATTTTCCGCGCTGCATGGATTGGGAGTCCGGGCAATCGGAGTGAGAGTGGAGGATGTTGAAGCTGCGTACCAAACGAGTGTAAATAACGGAGCTATTTCCATCTGCCCTCCCGTTACTGTCACAGACATCAAACCTAACGGTCAAGGGGGGAGTGTGACTATAGCGGAGGTGACTCTATACGGCGACACGGTGCTACGGTTTGTGAACCCGAAATCGTTCTCAGGTCCGTTTCTTCCCGCCTTTGAGGCAGCGTCGAACCAAGTGATGAGCTACGGGATTTTCAGGGTCGACCATGTGGTTGGGAACGTGCCGAACCTGGCGGATGTGGTTCGGTACGTCAAGGGATTCTCAGGGTTTCACGAGTTTACAGATTCGTGCGCTTCAGGAAACGCAGGAGGGGAAGCAGGAAAGGGAGTGGGGACAGGGAGAGGAGTGGGAGCAGGGGCAGCTGGTTTCAGCACTGCTGCTGGTGCTGCTGGTATTTCTGGTGGTGCTGGTGCTGCTAGTGCTGGTGCTGGTAACACTGCTGTCACTCCTAAGAAGAAATCCGGCTGTGCTGACGTGGACCCTAATGGCCTCGGCGTGAACAGTACTGTACTCGCTAATGACTGGGAGACAGTCATCCTCCCTATAATGGAACCCTCGCCCGGCCTCCCTTACAAGACGCAGGTCGAAACCTTCCTGGAGCACTATAACGGGGCAGGAGTGCAGCACATAGCTCTCATGTGCACAGACATTGTTAAAGCCGTAAAGGAGATGAAAGCCAGGAGCGAAATGGGGGGATTTGCGTTCCTGCCTAGGCCGTCGGCTAAGTACTATAGGGAGCTGGCGGCGAGGGTGGGGAGTTTAATCAGTGAGGAGGAGATGGGAGAGTATGAGGAGTTGGGGATTCTCGTGGATGTGGATGCTGGGGGAGTGCTGCTTCAGATCTTCACTGCTCCAATCGGGGACAGGTGAGAGTGGTTGGGTTGGGTGCCCTTGGGAGAGTTTTTCAGTGGTCCTGTGCGTGGCTAGCCTTTCTATCTGCTGAAAGGCGAGGAGGAGATGGAGGAGTGTGAGGAGTTGGGGATTCTCGTGGATGTGGATGCGGGGGGAGTGCTGCTGCAGATCTTCACTGCTCCCATTGGGGACAGGTGAGAGGGGTTGGGTGCACGTGGGAGAGAGGTGTCATTGGCAGTGGTCCTGTGCGTAGTTGCTAACCATTCCATGTGTTGAAAGGCGAGGAGGAGATGGAGGAGTATGAGGAGTTGGGGATTCTGGTGGATGTGGATGCTGGAGGAGTGCTGCTTCAGATCTTTAGTGCTCCTATTAGGGACAGGTGAAAGAGGGGCTGGGTGCGCTTGGGAGAGTGTTGTCAGTGGTCCGTGCATGGTTGATTACCATTTTGTCTGTTGAAAGGCGAGGAGGGGATGGGGGAGTATGCGGAGATGGGGATTCTCGTGAATGTGGAGGGGGGGGGGGAGGGGGGCTGCAAATCCTCACTGCTCTGACTTTTGAGTCAACTCAAAAGTCAACTTGCTGCAAATCCTCACTGCTCCGATTGGGGACAGGTGAGAGACCCTATCATCCCAGTCTTTTCCCCTTCTCCCCACCCACCATTCCTTCTTTCCCCCGCAGCAGGCCCACGCCCTTCATTGAGATTCTTCAGAGGGTGGGAGTGAAGAAAGGCCTTAAAGCTGTTCCCATGCGGTAGTTTGCCACCTGTCATCCCTGTCCCTTCTTCCATCCCTCCCACAGGCCCACAGTCTTCATTGAGATTCTTCAGCGGCTGGGAGTGACAAAGGGCCTCAAAGCCGTCCCCATGCAGCAGTTTCCTCGTGGGGGGTGCGGAGGGTTCGGCACTGGCAACCTGCTGGAGCTCTTTCGATCATTAGACACGGTTCAGACACCAACCAAGGGGTACCCATGACTAGATGAGGAAGGGGGTGTGTGGAGGGTTCGGCACTGGCAACCTGCTGGAGTTGTTCCGATCGCAGAACGTCGTTCAGACGCCATCCAAGGTGTATCCGTGACATACAATGGGAAGGGAGGCGTGGTGTGTTCGGCACAGGGAACCTGTTGTGGCTCTTCCGGTCACAAGACACAGTTCAGACGCCATGTAAGGTGTATTCATTCATGACATACATTTGGAAGGAAGGCGTGGTGGGCTCGGCACATGGAACCTGTTGTACCTCTTCCGGTCACTAGACACAGTTCAGACGCCAACCAAGGCGTATCCGTGACTTGTAAAACGATGCTAATGTGGAAAGAAAGTTACCGGTATTTGATGCGAAAGTTGGTGTGGAGGGTTCCGTCTGGCATGGGCAACGTGTTGAGCTGTTTTGGTCAGAAGACTTCATCTGGATGACAGGGAAGCCATATGTGTGACTTGTCACTTGTGGCTGGAGCTACAGTGGTGGGTGGGAAGGAAGGTGTCGTGATGAGCGAGGGGAGTGTGGAGGGTTATGTCTGGCACAGGCAACCTGTTGAGCTGTTTCGGTCAGTAGACGTCATTCAGTTGCCAATCAGGGTCTACTACATGACTTGCAGAAGGAGTTGCAGAAGGTGGGAAGACCTGGAAGGGGCAATAAAGCGACAATGGGTGGGTGGGTGGGTACTAGGTTGATGACGAAAGGGGTGTGGTGTGGAGGAAATTTGTGAACAAGTCTTTTTACATGACCTCTTCTGATCAGTGGCGGAGTGATAATATAAGGTGCCGGTAGATCACTGTTTCTCGTGGAGAGGTGGCGGTGGTGGTGGTATCTCTGATAAGGGGATATTGTTGGACGAGATGTTCAGCAAGCGTGTAGCTGTGATTTGTGGTTCTCGGGGTTGGTGCTACTGAGTTGGCACTGTAACATTTGCTACACCACACATCAGCCGTCTGTTTTGAAAGCACTGATGACGAGCTTTGAGATGCTTCAATGTGAGTTGCAGGCAGCACTACAGTGCACAGAAATCCAAGTGAGCATGTGTTTAGGAAGCTTGATACCATCTTAATGGTTACATGGGTCTTCGCCAAATGGTTGCGATGTGAGCAGAGACACCAGTGTGGAAGTAAATGTGTACCACAGCTTCTTTCATGCTGTGGGTTGCAGCTAATTTGCTACATGACCAGGGATGGACTGCTGAGAGGTTGAACAGAGTACGGTCTAGGGGCCATGGCATTCGAAGGCCATTGACAGGGCCAGGGCATAGGTATGGGGTTGACACGGAGGTGATGGGGTTACTTCTGACAGGTGAAGACGACTGGGTTGAAGGGATAGGAGGGTCAGGGTGTAGGAAGAGAGATTGTGGTGTATTTAGGGGAAAGGTGATGGTGGCGACAGGGTTACTGCTGACAGGTGTGGCGACTGGGACAAAGGGATAGGGGGCAGGAAGTAGGAAGAGAGAGTGTGGGGTATTTAGGGGGGAGGTGATGGTAGCGACAGGGTTACTGCTGACAGGTGTGGCGACTGGGACAAAGGGATAGGGGGCAGGAAGTAGGAAGAGAGAGTGTGGGGTATTTAGGGGGGAGGTGATGGTAGCGACAGGGTTACTGCTGACAGGTGTGGCGACTGGGACAAAGGGATAGGAGGCAGGAAGTAGGAAGAGAGAGTGGGGTATTTAGGGGGGAGGTGATGGTGATGACGGGATTACTGCAGACAGGTGTGACGACTGGGATGAAGGGATAGGAGGGTCAGGGTGCGCAGGAAGAAAGAGTGTAGAGATGGATGGGAGAGGAGAGGGGAGAGGAGGGGAAAGGAGGGGAGAGGAGGGGAGAGGAGGGGAGGGTAGAGTGAAGAGGGGAGTAAAGGAGGGGGGGAGGCGATAGAGTGGAGAGAGGGATGGAGGAGCTTAGAGATGAGAAGGGATGAGGCAGGTGCCACACAGGGGGGACGAGAGGAAGGGTGAGAGGTAGTCAGTGAGAGAGAGAAACGCGAGGAAGAAAGAACGAGGAGGGTGAAGGCTGGGGTTGTGGGTGATTGATAAGACACATACAAAATTGAAAAGATATATGAGAGACGTAAGCTGAGAGAGGGAAGGGGAGGGGTCGCAGTATGTGGAGAAGGGGGAGGACAGGGGAGGGGGGAAGAGAGGGGAGAAGGGGGGGGAGAGGGGAGAGGAGGGAGGGAGGGGGGGAAATTGGGGAAGGGGGTAAAGGAAGGGTAAAAAGCGAGAGTCGAAGAAGGGCAGGACGGGGGTTGTGAATATGAGGGGAGTGCGAAACTATTGAGTAGACTGGCCATACCGCTGCTTCATTTTGATTTGTCACTCTACATGAATTTTCCGAGCACAGAATCTCAGTTCGTACCATTCTGTCAACTAATGGAAACAACAACGTTAATGAAAAACGGCGAGACATGCTTAACCTCGAATTCGTTTTTTTCTAATGTACCTTGCATTATATTTTATTTTATTGATCAAAACTGCAATGCCAGACCTACTTCGGCAGAACGCTCGACTTGTCCTTCTCGTACTTCACGTAGAGCGCGCCAAGCCCTAGGAGAAAATACACCTGCACCGCGAGCGTCGCGCCGTCGTGGTACTCCAAAATGGACGATCCAGATGCGAGCTCCACCGAGACAAGAGCAGCCAATCCAATGGCTGCGAGCCGTCCGCTCAATCTCTCCGTGTACGAAGAAAATCCGAGCAAAACTGGTAACCCGTCGGACATGGGGTCTTTCAGTGGAAGAGGAGGCAGGAGCTCGGCGATTTTAGCTGCTTCTGCCGCTGCTGACGTGGCGTCTGACGTGGAGGAAGCGGATGACGTGGAAGGAGCAGGCGGAGCGTCTCCGCTGGCCTTGGCTTTCCGCTCCTCCGCCTTTTTCCCCGTCCCGCTCGCGTTTTTCCGCCTTAGGCGCTCCAGACGAGCCTCGAATTCCTCGTCATCGCTGGACGCTCTGACGACGAGCCGCGAGACGCGGCTGCTGCTGACGTGTCTAGGAAGCGTCGACGCTAGACTGGTGGAAATGCGGGACGACAGCGACGACGCGGCGAGAGCGGAAGCCATGACTAGCGTCTGTGTCAGAGAATGGGGGCACTGTTGGTGGTGATGGTGATGGTGGTAACAGCGGTGACTACGCTGCGCAGAAACACGAGCGAGCCGTCGAGTCTTAGCTACCACAAACGGCGACTACCACCTGAATGGCTTTTGCAGGAAGCCTAGAGACAACCGTTGAAATGAGTAGCTCCTAGAAATTAGTGTGCAGGAAATTTCACCATTGGGAATGTCGCGCTCCCCGCCATTTTGATCAGGCAGGCGGGGGGTTGCGCGGGATGTCGCAGAAGGTTGTGCCCTGTCGGGCAGAAGGTTGGGGAAGTGGCGGGCGGAAGCTTTGCACTGCCGGGCGGACCCTTGGAAACGTCAGAGCTTGAGGCCGGGAAAGGAACACGACGCGGTAACAGACACGTCATGAACACGTGTTCCGCGAGGCCCCTCTAGATCCGATGCCACGTCGCTAGGTTTCCTACCACGCGTCGCTCGGATGGCTTGCTTGAATCTTGCGTGGCAGCAAGTGAACAATAAGCATCCACGTTTGCAGCTTCCACAGAAGCAGCGGAACCCGCTGACAGTGACGATCCCATATCGCAGACTCCTAGTACCGAATCACCACAAATAATGCACTCTATAATCAAAATCTTTTGATTTTGTCGTTCAGATGAGTCTAATATTGATGGAAGCCATCACCATCATGCCAACATAATGGAGGCATTAGGCAGTACCTAAGTACGGAATTAACAAAAGACTTTTGAAATTGCAGCTACAGAGTTGAAGCCGCAAGGCGATAGAAAAGGGCAAGGTCTTCAGACTTCTTCCAAATGTACGTGCGAACCGTGGCCAAGCTCATCTCCGGCTTTAGAAGCTGCCATGGAGGGAGAAATACACACAAAACAATACATATTATTGACCATGCGCTGGACATTAACATAGCATTAGCTTGGATGTTAGAGCGTATTCCTATCCTCGTATCAAGAAAACCTCATATCAAGATTGTACTTTTTGCCTGGGCGAGAGGTTTTGGGTTTAGGGGAATTTTCAGTGGGAGGTTGATATGAGGTTTTCTTGATACGAGGATAGGAATACGCTCTTAGTTGATTTTTGCAGATATCAAGCAAACAAGCTCACCTGATTAGATATCCCATTCTCAGGCTCACCTGATTATTGCAGAAAATCTCAACCACCACAGGAGGGGCCAGGGGTCCTACTGGCCCATCTGCTCTCCCCTTCATCCCCCCTCCGCTCTCCTCCTCTTCCTCTTGCAAGTCATCCAATCCCAGCTTCTCCCGCACATAGCTCATCACCTGCACGCACACATGAGAGGAGGAACTGGCGGATTGTAAACATTTGTAATCAATATTCAGATTGCAAAGCGGTGATTCAAGCTTCTCCTGCACGTAGCTCATCGCCTGCAACAGAGACATCAGGAAAGAAGAGGAGGATTTTTTTCTTCTTTTTTTTCTTGCCCTTCCATGTCACGCCCTTTCCCTGTCCACAACCCACCCCTGCACTCAGCCTGTTCTGCGTCATGCCATCGTCTCCCTCCTTCCCACTTTCTCGCACCATAACGCCCTTCTCTTCCCCCCTGCCTCCCATCCAGCATCCACCTTACCTTGAGGATTTTGAGAATCTTGGGAGCGCTCAGCTTGTTCTGTGTCAGCGGCCGCAGCTGTGAGCCATCCAGGGGTTGCAGGTAGAAGCTGCACCTGTTGGGGACAGGAAAGGACGTGGGGAACACAAGGAGAGGGAGGCGATGAAGGTTCTGAAAGTCTCATAACTGCGACCCATCCAGCGGCTGCAGGTAAAAGCAAAAAGGGGGAGGGTTGGGGGATAGGGGAAGCAAAAAGGGGATATTGGGAGCGCTCAGCTTATTCTGTATCAGAGGCTGTAGCTGTTGTGAGCCATCCAGGGGTTGCAGGTAGAAACTGCACCTGGGTGGGGGGGGGGGGGGAGGGAAGGCAGGGGGAGCAGCAGGGAAGAGGAGAGAAGTGGGAAATAAACTCAAGCTTTGAAACTCTGCGAGCCATCCAGTGGGTGCCTTTTGAGAGAGAAGCTCAAAAGCCATCCAGTGGGTGCCTTTTGAGACGTCTCAAAAGCCATCCAGTGGGTGCAGGGAGAAGCTGCTTCTGTGGGGGGAAGAGAGAGGTGAGCGACAGGAGCACAAATGGGAAGGAAGAGTAGGGGATGGAGAAGCAAAAGAGAGGGAAGGGGAGGTGAGTTCTGAAGGTCTCATCTCATGGCTGCGAGCCATCCAATGGGTGCCAGTAGAAGCTGCACCTGTGGATGAGAGGGGGAAGGGATGGGGAGGGAAAGAGGGGTCTGAATGTGAGGGGTCTGAATGTGAGGGGTCTGAATGTGAGGGGTCTGAATGTGAGGGGTCTGAATGTGAGGGGTCTGAATGTGAGGGGTCTGAATGTGAGGGGTCTGAATGTGAGGGGTCTGAATGTGAGGGGTCTGAATGTGAGGGGTCTGAATGTGAGGGGTCTGAATGTGAGGGGTCTGAATGTGAGGGGTCTGAATGTGAGGGGTCTGAATGTGAGGGGTCTGAATGTGAGGGGTCTGAATGTGAGGGGTCTGAATGTGAGGGGTCTGAATGTGAGGGGTCTGAATGTGAGGGGTCTGAATGTGAGGGGTCTGAATGTGAGGGGTCTGAATGTGAGGGGTCTGAATGTGAGGGGTCTGAATGTGAGGGGTCTGAATGTGAGGGGTCTGAATGTGAGGGGTCTGAATGTGAGGGGTCTGAATGTGAGGGGTCTGAATGTGAGGGGTCTGAATGTGAGGGGTCTGAATGTGAGGGGTCTGAATGTGAGGGGTCTGAATGTGAGGGGTCTGAATGTGAGGGGTCTGAATGTGAGGGGTCTGAATGTGAGGGGTCTGAATGTGAGGGGTCTGAATGTGAGGGGTCTGAATGTGAGGGGTCTGAATGTGAGGGGTCTGAATGTGAGGGGTCTGAATGTGAGGGGTCTGAATGTGAGGGGTCTGAATGTGAGGGGTCTGAATGTGAGGGGTCTGAATGTGAGGGGTCTGAATGTGAGGGGTCTCAATGTGAGGGGTCTGAATGTGAGGGGTCTGAATGTGAGGGGTCTGAATGTGAGGGGTCTGAATGCGAGGGGTCTGAATGCGAGGGGTCTGAATGTGAGGGGTCTGAATGTGAGGGGTCTGAATGTGAGGGGTCTGAATGTGAGGGGTCTGAATGTGAGGACAAAGGGAGAAGCTGCGCCTGGAGGCGTGTGGGGTGGTGGGGGGGGGGGGGGGGGGGGGGAGGGGAGTGGCGGACGGTTGGGTAGGAAGACAACAGAAGACGAGAACAAGAAGACAAGTAAATCTAGCAATTGGGAATCAATAGGACAAGATCATGTTTTATATTTTGACAGAGGCTCTAGTGGCAGTTTTGACCACTAGTGGTTGGAGGTCGAAACTGCAAGGAGGCGGGGGAGGGGAGGAGGAGTGGTGGAGCGTGGAAGGCAAGCTGTGGTTGCAACGGGTCACAGAAGTTGGAATTACCAACTTGAGAATCATATAGAGGCTGCACGTTGAAGCAGCACCACATGAGGTGTATCTATGGCGATAAATGGCTGCCAACTGGCACTGGCAGCACCATGCCGTACTTGCTGGGGTCTCATTTCGGCCAGCGACCGTTCCACACGCAGTCAACACACCACCCAACCGCCTGAGGCAAAAGTCTATTGATTGATTTTATAGCATCAAGCCAAAATTCCAGGTTCTTACTTGCTGGGATTTTTTTGGGGAAGTCGATCGTTCCACACGCAATCAGCTCAGCACACCAGCCAGGCAGCAGCAACCTCGCTCGCTTCCTCCCACCCGAATATGAGTCGATAAGACAATTACTGGTTCGGTTTGCATGTCTTACTTGCTGGGGTCCCTCTGAGGCAGTCGGTCGTTCCACACGCAGTCAGCACACCACCCCGGCAGCAGCAGCCTCGCTTCCTCCCACCCGCCTGAGACAAAGTCTATTCAAAGATTTTAATGTATGAAGTTATAATTTCAGGTTCTTACTTGCTGGGATCTCTCTGGGGAAGTCGGTCATTCCACACGCAGTCGGCACACCACCCCGGCAGCAGCAGCCTCGCTTCCTCCCACCCCGCCCCGTCCGCTGCTAGAGTCACAACCCTGCGCCGCCACGGGCCGAACTGAGGCCCCTCTGTGATTATAGAGGGCGGGAACTGGTGGGGGAACTCGAAGGAGGGGAGCAGGCCGGATAACACGTCCTCCTCTCCCTCTTCTTCTGATGTAGAAGCTGCTACTGCTCCTCCTGCTGCTCCTCTTGCTGTTACTGCTGCTCCTGCTCCTGTTCCTGCTCCTGCTCCTCCTGCTGCTCCCGCCCCTTCTCCTGCTGCTCCTTGTGCTTCTGCTGATGGTGCTGCTGCTGATCCTGCTGCTGCTGGCACTGCTGCGGTTGCTGCTGGGACTGCTGCTGTGGCAGCTGCAGCAGAGGCGGATCGTCTTAGCCCGGTGTGTGAGGTGGAAAGGGAGGAAGAGGAGGAGGTGGTGGTGGTGGTGGCGGAGGAGGGGTAGGATGAGTGAGTGAGGGAGGAGGGAGTGAGGGATGATTGCACGGGGGGGAGCCTCTTCTCGTTGAGCCATGGCCATAGCAGGCCTCTTAGGGTTTGTTGACCCAGGTTCAGCTGGTGGTGGGGGAAGTGGGAGGGAAAAGAGTGACCAAGTAACAGGTTAGGGAGAGTGCACTGGAGGAAGCCTCTTCTAACTGAGCCATGGCCAGAGAAGGCCTCTTAGGGTTTGTTGACCCAGGTTCAGCTGGTGGTGGGGGAAGTGACAGAAAGAAAATGAGGTGTGGAAAAGGAGGTATGGAGATTGAGGCTTGGAAGTTGAGGTACCGAAAGTGAGGTACGGAGATTGAGGTATGGGAATCGATAGAAAGAGGAAGATCGATTAAGGTGCATTACTGAAAGCCCTCTCCTCTAGGTCAGTGCATTACTGAAAGCCCTCTCCTCTAGGTCAGTGCATTACTGAAAGCCCTCTCCTCTAGGTCAGTGCATTACTGAAAGCCCTCTCCTCATTCACCTTTAGGTCTTCAGATGCTCCCGGCACATCAAGGTCAGTGGCGTAGATCTCAGCAGAGAAGCACTGCGGGCACTCTTAAGTGCACTGAGAGGCAGGTGCGTGGTTGTACTGCTAGCATGCATGCACGACTGAACAGTCACTTGCACACACACAGCACTCCCTCCCCTCACCTTGAGGTCTTCAGACGCCCCCAGCACATCAAGGTCAGTGGCGTAGATCTCAGCAGAGAAGCACTGCGGGCACTCTTAAGTGCACTGAGAGGCAGGTGCGTGGTTGTACTGCTAGCATGCATGCACGACTGAACAGTCACTTGCACACACACAGCACTCCCTCCCCTCACCTTGAGGTCTTCAGACGCCCCCAGCACATCAAGGTCAGTGGCGTAGATCTCAGCCGAGAAGCACCAGGGGCACTCCAGGTGCAGTGAGAGGGGAGAGAGGCAGGTGTGTGGCCTTACTACTGATGTACATACATGCACTACCCGCCTCACCTTGAGGTCTTCAGATGCTCCTGGTACGTCTAGGTCAGTGGCATAGATCTCAGCAGAGAAGCACTGCGGGCACTCCAGGTGCAGTGAGAGGCTAGAGAGAGAACCCGACTTTCCTTCCCACACACTCACACACACAACCCTCTATGCACGTTTGGCGAGCGGCCTACCTTGAGGTCCTCAGACGCCCCCGGGACGTCTAAGTCTGTGGCATAGATCTCAGCAGAGAAGCACTGCGGGCACTCCAGGTGCACTGAGAGGCAGCCAAAGCGGAGGTCCACTGTGAACCACGGGCTCACGCTGATCTGATATTGAAAGGGGTGCAAGGGGTTGAGAGGAGTTGAGAGGGGTTGAGAGGGGTTGAGAGGGGTGAGGTGGGATTCAGGGGGGACTAGGTGCTAGCCAAAGCGGAGGTCCACTGAGAACCACGGGCTCATGCTGATCTGATATTGGAAGGGTTCAAGAGCGGGTGAGAAGGGGTTGAGGAGGGAGGAAGAGAGGTGCTAAATGGTAGCCAAAGCGGAGGTCTAATGAGATCAACGAAGGGGTTGAGTTGAGAGGGTTGAGAAAGATTGAGAAGGGTTGAGGAGAGAGAAAGCGAGGTGAGATTGAGGGACGCCAAATCACAGGTCCGATGGGAGTGAGTGAGAAAGTGACCGGGTGAGTGAGTGAGTGAGTGAATGACCGGGCGAGTGAGAGAGTGAAGGAATGGGTGGGTGAGTGAGTGGGTGAGTGCGTGAGTGAGTGAGTAGTGAGGGTATGTATCATTCCATCACCATGACGTACCATCTCAAAGAGTTCCTTTTCCTTTTCTTCAAATGACACCTGCACCAGAAAAGGACAAGACAGAGAAGCACCAGTGATAAACGTCAAGACAGAGATGGAAAACGGAACCTGGAAAAACACTACCAGACTTTGTGGTTAGTCACTTTCGGGGCGCGTATATCAATCCTGGAAAAATAGCAGGGTTCGTGCATGAACCCCGGTTAGCTGAATGCACTACAGTACATTATCGTCCACTGGAGCAGACTTTTGATTCGACTCAAAAGTCACCCCGGTTAGCTGAATGCACTACAGTACATTATCGTCCACTGGAGCAGACTTTTGATTCGACTCAAAAGTCACCCCGGTTAGCTGAATGCACTACAGTACATTATCGTCCACTGGAGCAGACTTTTGATTCGACTCAAAAGTCACCCCGGTTAGCTGAATGCACTACAGTACATTATCGTCCACTGGAGCATTGTGCATTGTACCACTGTGACCCATGGAAGGCCCTACACTTTAGCAGCATGCACTGTAGCATGCACTGTAGCATGCACTGTAGCATGCACTGTAGCATGCACTGTAGCATGCATTGTGGCAGCGTGCACTGCACTGCTCACCACACCGTAGTTGGCAACAACAGCACCCCGGGTGATCTCCCATAGCTTCACCACACCTCCTTGTTCTGAAACAGTGCCTTTAAGGGAGCCTTATTCAAACCACTCACCACACCGTAGTTGGCAACAACAGCACCCCGGGTGATCTCCCATAGCTTCACAACACCTCCCTCATCCTGAAACAGCAGCCAGAACGGTTATTATTGACAGGAAGTGAGGGGTTTGGAAGAAAGGAAGATGGTATAGGAAGTTTATGGAAACAGTATAGAGAGAGATTATGAGGGTACACATACGAGGCGCACAAATACATACACGAGGCGCACCTGAGGTGACTTTTGAGTCGACTCAAAAGTCACCTAGTCGACTCAAAAGTCACCTCGAGTCGACTCAAAAGTCACATACGAGGCGCACAAATACAAACACGGGGCACACAAATACAAACACGGGGCGCACAAATACATACACGAGGCGCACCTGAGTGAGCGCGTGCCGTCTGTCGCTCAGAATGGCATGGCCTGTGATTTGAGTTGAATCGAAACACAGGCACGCACAGACCCATCCACCCCACTCAACCCCTCCAAACTCCCACACACACATCTAAAAAGATACGATTCTCACCCGTGTGAGCACGTGCCGTCTATCGTTCAATATGGTGTGGCGTGTGATGGGTGCGGTGCCGGGGATGGTGGCGATAGGATGGGGGAATAGGGGAACCTGGAAAATGAGGGAGAGGGGAGGGGGAGAGGGAAGGGGGAGAGAAGGGAGAGGGGAGAAAGGGTAAAAGCAGGTTGTTCAGAATGGCATGGATTGTGATGGGTGTGGTGCCAGGGATGGTGGCAATGGGATGGGGGAATAGGGAAATCTGGGGAAGAGGGGAGGGAGAGACAGAAGGGGGAGAGAAGGGAGAGGGGAGAAGGGTAAAAGCAGGTTGTTCAGAATGGCATGGTGTGTGATGGGTGTGGTGCCGGGGATGGTGGCGACGGGACGGGTGAATACAGGAACCTGGGGAAGAGGGAGAGATAGAGAGAGAGAGGAGACAGGGGAGAGAGAGGGGAGAGGGCACACAGAGAAAAAGAGGGAGTTCGCATAGTAATTGAGAGGATATTTTTATCAAGAGGTGATTTTCCTCCACCCACCAGAGGTCAGGACCCGCATAACACACCAGCCCGTTCGGCTTTAAGAACCTTCTTCAGCCACCCATCAGAGCAAGAGGGCCTTCCACACTAGCTCGAGCACGAAACACCCCAAGGCTGCTGACAATGAAGGAACTGGTGGCAAGGTCAGGACTCACAGAGAAGAGTCTAGTCAACCAGGCCATCACCAGGTGACCCGGTGGAGGGTGGAGGGGTAATTGGTGTGCTTCACCCACCAGAAAGAAAGAGCTTTCCACACTGGCTCGAGCACGAGACACCCCTAGGCTGCTGACACTGAAGGAGCTGGCGGCGAGGTCAGGACTCACATTGTCTAAACTGGCACCTGAAGAGTCTAAACTGGCCCATCAGGTGACTAGTTTTGAGGCGCCTAAAAAATAGAGGTCAGGACTCGCACAGAAGCCAGAAAGGCGGGCGTGCGGGCGGGCGGGGGGAAGAGTGCATGAGTGGTCAGGACGGGATGGTATTCTTCACCCACCAGAGAGAAAGAGCTTTCCACGCTGGCGCGGGCGCGGGACACCCCAAGGCTGCTGGCGATGAATGTGGTAGCAGAGAGGTCAGGACTCGCACAGAAGAGTCAAGTCAATCGGGCCATCACCAGGTGACCCGGTGGAGGGTGGAGAGGAGATTGGTGTGCGCTTCACTCACCAGAGAGAAAGAGCTTTCCACGCTAGCTCGCGCACGAGACACCCCAAGGCTGCTGGCGATGAAAGAGCTGGCAGAGAGGTCAGGACTCGCACAGAACACTGGGCCATTCGGTGACACGCATTCGCAAACCAGCGCAGAGGTGAATTATCTCTACCCACCAGCGACGGAGAGACCATTCCATTCACCAAGGGAGGGAGTTCCTGAGGTGGGTGGGCAGAGGTGAACGCTTCGCGTCACTCACCAGAGAGAAAGAGCTTTCCACGCTAGCTCGCGCACGAGACACCCCAAGGCTGCTGGCGATGAATGTGCTAGCAGAGAGGTCAGGACTCGCACAGAACACCGGTCCGTTCGGTGACACGCCCCCCTCCTCCTCTCGTGCTCTCTCCTCCGCCTCTCCCTCCTCTCCTACCCCCGCCCCTCCTCCTGCCTCGTCTCCTTCGCCGTCTGCTTGCGCTGCTGCTGCTCTCTCTCGCTCCTCCACCCCTCCCCCCACCCTCCTTCCTGCCTTCTCCCCGTCCTCCCCTATCCACGCGTCCCCGCCCCCCCCTGTCAAAGCAGCAGGTTCAGCAGGCCAGCACTGGACAGAGGAGGCAGAAGTACTAACCCACATCCTGTCACAATCCAACCGTCTCTTTATCACTCCTCCCATCCTCTCCCCTTCTCTTCTTTCCTCCCTTCCTCCTCTCCCCTTTCCTCCTCTCTCCCCGCCAGGCTGTAACGCCAGGTGGAGCACAGGGCGATCCTCCTTGGCCAATAGGATGCTTTCTCGCGTGGCAAGATCGGTGACGTAGACCTGAGACGATGAGTAATGGAAGGGGGAAAACAGGAAGCGAAGGGACTTTGAGTTGAGACCCATCAGAACAGGATGAGGGGTGACCCTCCTTGGCCAATAAAATACTTTCCCGCGTGGCAAGATCAGTGACATAGACCTGGGAAGGTGAGGAAGGAAGTGAAGCAAAGAAGATTCCCTGACGCCCATTACAACGATTTGAAGCAGCGGAATTGCTTGGCTATAGCATGCTTTCCCGCGTGGCCAGATCAGTGACACAGACCTGGGAAGATGGGCATGGAAAGGGGGGCGAAGAGAAAGCACAGGGAGTTCGGAAACCCATCAGAACACACAGAATGAGGGGCGACCCTCCTTGGTCAGTAGAATGATTTCCCGCGTGGCCAGATCGGTGACGTAGATCTGGGAAGGTGAGGAACGAAAGGGGTAAAGCAGGAAGCATAGGGAGTTCAGAAACCCATTAGAACAGCATGAGGAGCGACCCTCCTTGGCCAATAGGATGCTTTCCCGCGTGGCCAGATCGGTGACGTAGACCTGAGAAGATGGGTACAGAAGATGGGACCTGAGAAGATGAGCAGGAATTTCTGAGACCCTTCTAGCACACGCGTGCTCACCCACCCACACAAGCACCCGCTGAGCCACACACACACACAAACACACACGCAAGCCCTCCCCTTTCCCCCTCCCTGAGCAGCACTCACTCACACACATACTTTCCCAGGAGCAGCACTCACGCATGCATCCCTGCCCCCGCTGTAGACACGTGTGAACTCCTCATTGGCTGCCACAGCCCACACGGACCAAGCCCGTGTGCACCCGCTCACACACCCCACATGCGCGCACACTCTCTCTCTCACACACACACACACAGCACTCACGCATGCATCCCTGCCCCCGCTGTAGACACGTGTGAACTCCTCATTGGCTGCCACAGCCCACACGGACCAAGCCCGTGTGCACCCGCTCACACACCCCACATGCGCGCACACTCTCTCTCTCACACACACACACACAGCACTCACGCATGCATCCCTGCCCCCGCTGTAGACACGTGTGAACTCCTCATTGGCTGCCACAGCCCACACGGACCAAGCCCGTGTGCACCCGCTCACACACCCCACATGCGCGCACACTCTCTCTCTCACACACACACACACAGCACTCACGCATGCATCCCTGCCCCCGCTGTAGACACGTGTGAACTCCTCATTGGCTGCCACAGCCCACACCGAGTCCGTATGCACCGCGTAGGAGTGCACACAGCGCTGCTGCCCCAGGTCCCACAACCTGTTTCCAGGAGAATAAAACAGAGAGAGGGAGAGAGGAGCAAGAGCAGATTCAGTCAGTGAGCAGCACAGTGCACCGCTCAGAACCGCTGAGCACCGCACAGCCCACACCGAATCCGTGTGCACTGCGTACGAGTGCACACAACGCTGCTGGCCCAGGTCCCACAGGCTGTGAAGGGAAAGGGGTGTGAAATCAAGGAGAATCAAACAGAAGCACGAAAAAACGCACATGAGTGCACCGCACAGCACTGCACAGCCCACACCGAGTCTGTATGCACTGCGTACGAGTGCACACAGCATTGCTGGCCCAGGTCCCACAGGCTGTGAAGGGAAGGGGGTGTGACAAGTGCACGAGTACACACAGCGCTGCAGCACAGCCCACACCGAGTCTGTATGCACTGCGTACGAGTGCACACAGCGCTGCTGGCCCAGGTCCCACAGGCTGTGAAAAAAGAGGATTGTGGCATAAAGGAGAGACACACACAAGAGGGAAAGATCGCGCAGAATCAGTCAGTGTGACCAGGGAACAGCACGGAATGGAGGGGCCCTAAACCCGAAACCCTCCAGGATTATTGAGTTAAAAGGGAAATCGGGACCGTGGGAACAGCACCGTGGGGGCCTAAACCCGAAACCCTCCAGGACTATTGAGTTCAGAGGGAAACCGGGACCGTGGGAACGGCACACATGGAGAAGAGGTTAATTATGAATCCGTGTGTCCGTCTTAATTATGTGTATGAGTGAGTGCATGCATCGCATAGGAGTGCACACGACAGCACTGCTGCTCCAGGAAGTAAGAATCGAGTTAAGAGAGAAACTGAGTCAGGGAAAAAAAAAACACAAAGACACACGAGAAAGAGAAGTCCACCCCACTGTCTGTTGGGACCCCCATTGCATAATGACTTAGCAACTCGTTTATTGAGTGCACATACGTAATGAGTGTGTAGGTCCTGACTTTTGAGTCGACTCAAAAGTCAGCTCCCCACTGTATGTTGGGACCCCCATTGGATAATGACTTAGCAACTAGTTTATTGAGCGCACATGCGTAATGAGTGTGTAAGTCATGAGCACTCACCGGATGATTGAGTCATGAGCACTCACCGGATGATGGAGTCATGAGCACTCACCGGATGATTGAGTCATGAGCACTCACCGGATGATGGAGTCATGAGCACTCACCGGATGATGGAGTCATGAGCACTCACCGGATGATTGAGTCATGAGAACTCACCGGATGATTGAGTCATGAGCACTCACCGGATGATTGAGTCATGAGCACTCACCGGATGATGGAGTCATGAGCACTCACCGGATGATGGAGTCATGAGCACTCACCGGATGATGGAGTCATGAGCACTCACCGGATGATTGAGTCATGAGCACTCACCGGATGATTGAGTCATGAGCACTCACCGGATGATGGAGTCATGAGCACTCACCGGATGATTGAGTCATGAGCACTCACCGGATGATGGAGTCATGAGCACTCACCGGATGATTGAGTCATGAGCACTCACCGGATGATGGAGTCATGAGCACTCACCGGATGATGGAGTCATGAGCACTCACCGGATGATTGAGTCATGAGCACTCACCGGATGATGGAGTCATGAGCACTCACCGGATGATGGAGTCATGAGCACTCACCGGATGATGGAGTCATGAGCACTCACCGGATGATGGAGTCATGAGCACTCACCGGATGATGGAGTCATGAGCACTCACCGGATGATGGAGTCATGAGCACTCACCGGATGATGGAGTCATGAGCACTCACCGGATGATTGAGTCATGAGCACTCACCGGATGATTGAGTCATGAGCACTCACCGGATGATGGAGTCATGAGCACTCACCGGATGATGGAGTCATGAGCACTCACCGGATGATGGAGTCATGAGCACTCACCGGATGATTGAGTCATGAGCACTCACCGGATGATTGAGTCATGAGCACTCACCGGATGATTGAGTCATGAGCACTCACCGGATGATTGAGTCATGAGCACTCACCGGATGATGGAGTCATGAGCACTCACCGGATGATGGAGTCATGAGCACTCACCGGATGATTGAGTCATGAGCACTCACCGGATGATGGAGTCATGAGCACTCACCGGATGATGGAGTCATGAGCACTCACCGGATGATGGAGTCATGAGCACTCACCGGATGATTGAGTCATGAGCACTCACCGGATGATTGAGTCATGAGCACTCACCGGATGATGGAGTCATGAGCACTCACCGGATGATTGAGTCATGAGCACTCACCGGATGATGGAGTCATGAGCACTCACCGGATGATGGAGTCATGAGCACTCACCGGATGATTGAGTCATGAGCACTCACCGGATGATGGAGTCATGAGCACTCACCGGATGATTGAGTCATGAGCACTCACCGGATGATGGAGTCATGAGCACTCACCGGATGATGGAGTCATGAGCACTCACCGGATGATTGAGTCATGAGCACTCACCGGATGATTGAGTCATGAGCACTCACCGGATGATTGAGTCATGAGCACTCACCGGATGATTGAGTCATGAGCACTCACCGGATGATTGAGTCATGAGCACTCACCGGATGATTGAGTCATGAGCACTCACCGGATGATGGAGTCATGAGCACTCACCGGATGATGGAGTCATGAGCACTCACCGGATGATGGAGTCATGAGCACTCACCGGATGATGGAGTCATGAGCACTCACCGGATGATGGAGTCATGAGCACTCACCGGATGATTGAGTCATGAGCACTCACCGGATGATTGAGTCATGAGCACTCACCGGATGATGGAGTCATGAGCACTCACCGGATGATGGAGTCATGAGCACTCACCGGATGATGGAGTCATGAGCACTCACCGGATGATTGAGTCATGAGCACTCACCGGATGATGGAGTCATGAGCACTCACCGGATGATTGAGTCATGAGCACTCACCGGATGATGGAGTCATGAGCACTCACCGGATGATGGAGTCATGAGCACTCACCGGATGATGGAGTCATGAGCACTCACCGGATGATGGAGTCATGAGCACTCACCGGATGATGGAGTCATGAGCACTCACCGGATGATTGAGTCATGAGCACTCACCGGATGATGGAGTCATGAGCACTCACCGGATGATGGAGTCATGAGCACTCACCGGATGATTGAGTCATGAGCACTCACCCGATGATGGAGTCATGAGCACTCACCGGATGATTGAGTCATGAGCACTCACCGGATGATGGAGTCATGAGCACTCACCGGATGATTGAGTCATGAGCACTCACCGGATGATTGAGTCATGAGCACTCACCGGATGATGGAGTCGGAGGAGCCGGACAAGCAGAACCTGCAATGGGGTGTGAGAGGAGGGCGGGAGGGAGGGAGAGAAAACAGACGGTTTGAATCGAGAGGGAGGGAGGGAGGGAGGGAGGGAGGGAGGGAGGGAGAGAAGATGGTTGCAGTTAAGAGAGAGTGCAGCTGTCTGAAGTTCCCACCAACGAAATGATGGAGTCGGAGGAGCTGGACAAGCAGAACCTGCAATGGGGTGTTAGTGGAGGGAGGGGACGGGAGAAGATGCGTTGAGTTGAAAGAGAGACCGTACCTACGCACGCACGCACACCCCAGCTTCTCACCCACCCTGTCTCTGCTCATCAAACAGCTGCCCATCCGACTCTTGAGTGTCCTCAGAAGTCACCTCTTGGACCCCAAACAGCCTCCCACACACACGCACACCACCCCCCTCCAGGCCCCTCATCCTCCTCTGCGTTCCAGACGCATACCACCCCCCTCACACTCTGCCTCTCCTTACCATAGAGCAGGGGGTCCGTCACCCAACACACACGGCCTACCACACCATAAAGCCACTCACCTGCAAGTAGGATCTACAGCCAGCGCTCAAATGTTCTCCGTGTGCCCTTTCAGCTTCATCTGCTTGGTCCCTGTGAGAGGGTCCCACCCACGCGCTCTCCTTTCCCTCTCTTGATATCTGCCACTCACCTGCCAGTGGGGTCGATAGCAAGAGCTCTAATGTTCTCCGTATGTCCCTTTAGCTTCATCTGCTTGGTCCCAGTGCGAGGGTCCCACACGCGCACCACCTTCTCTGTGCCGCCCGAAACCACCACACTGCCGGCACTGTTCATCGCAACCGAATACACCGAGTCCTTATGCCCTTTGGCCGGCACTGGAGAATATACCCCCACTACCGGCCCTGCTGCTGCTCCTCCCCCTGCCCCCCCTGCTCCCCCCGCCCCCCCTGCTCCCCCTGCCACTCCTGCTCCTCCTGCGCCCCCTGCTCCTGAGCCTGCACCGCCTCCCCCTAGGCCAGAAGCAGCAGCAGGAGCAGCAGGGGACGCGTTAGACGTGGGAGCAGCGGGGGCGGAGGAGGAGGAGGAAGAGGGGGAAGAGGAGGAGGTAGGGGGGAGGGAACCCCCTGACCAGGTGAGAGGCTGTGCTGCTGCTAAGTCCCAGATGAACAGCTCTGAACCGAGACCAGCTGATGCCACTAGAGGGACCTGTGGAGAAAGGGGACAGGGGAAAGAGAGGGAACTGTGTTGATTGATACGGAGAGGGTAGGAGAAGGAGGGGAAGAGAGGAGGGAGAGACCCCCATGATCAGGTGAGTGGCTGTGCTGCTGCGAGGTCCCAAACGAGCAGCTCTGAAGCCACTGGAGAAACCTGTGGACGGGTGGGGGGAGAGGGGAGAGAGATGGAAATGTGTTGACGAGGATAGGGTAGGAGAAGGGAGGGCAAGAGGGGAGAGACCCTCCTGACCAGGTGAGTGGCTGTGCTGCTGAACCGAGACCCGTTGATGCCACTAGAAGAACCTGTGGACGAGGGGGAAGAGGAGGGAGAGGGGCGCGGGAGGGAGGGGGCGCAGGAGGGAGGGGGCGCAGGAGGAAGGGGGGCGCAGGAGGAAGGGGGGCGCAGGAGGAAGGGGGGCGCAGGAGGAAGGGGGGCGCAGGAGGAAGGGGGGCGCAGGAGGAAGGGGGGCGCAGGAGGAAGGGGGGCGCAGGAGAGAGGGGAGAGGTAGTTGCTGGGACGACGCTGCCAGCAAGAGCGATGACTGTTGTCGCTGTGGTGCCCGAGTGCTGCTCCATGCATGCTGCAGTGCTGTTACTGAGTAGGGGCAAAGAGCACGGCACTCACGTTGTGGGCAGCAGCAAGAGCGTCGCTGCGGTGCCGCAGTGCTGCTGCATGCATGCTGAATTGCTGCTGCATGCATGCAGAATTGCTGCTGCATGCATGCTGAATTGCTGCTGCATGCATGCTGAATTGCTGCTGCATGCATGCTGAATTGCTGCTGCGTTACCTTTGATTCGTACAGAGAGAAAGAGCGACTCACATCGCGGGCGGCAGCGAGAGCGATGACGCAGTCGCTGTGGTGCCGCAGTGCTACAGTTACTAGAGAAGGGGAGAGGCGAGCATGGTGCTACTCACATCACGGGCAGCAGCGAGAGCGATAACGTAGTCGCTGTGGCGCCACAGTGCTGCTGTTACATGCATGCATGTACGGAGAGGGAGGGAAAGGGACTCACATCACGGGCGGCAGCGAGAGCGATGACGTAGTCGCTGTGGTGCCGCAGGGTGTCGGTGCACTCGCCCCTTGGGGAAAACGCCTTCCACGTCTGGTGCACGCACATAAGATATGCACACACAAAGATGCAACACACACGAAGACACAGCACACATAGAGGCACAGGGGAGACAGTGTGAGTGGTGCAGCCTGCAGGGTGTCGGTGCACTCGCCCCTCGGGAAAACAGCCTTCCATGTCTGGTGCGTGCACACAAGACACCAAGGCAGAGAGGATACGCGGAGAGGAATTGGCTCCTATGAAAATCTGGTAGACACTGCCACGGCATGGTTGCTGCAGGATTATGATAAACCCTTTGCTTGCACCCTGAAGGCAACACCTGAGTCAGCCTTACAGGCAATGCTGTGAACGACTGACTTGCTCCAACCATGCGTGAACAACTCACCTTGAGAGAGCCATCGGAGGAGCATGAGACGAGCGTGTCCGCCCCCACTAACACCACGTCATTCACCCAGTCTGTATGCGACTCGCAATTTCTCTCAATGCTCTGAGCGACTGACCTTGAGGGATCCATCAGAAGAGCATGAGACAAGCGTGTCCGCCCCCACCAACACCACGGCGTTCACCCAGTCAGTATGTGACTCGAAAGTAACGTGAGTCAACTCTACACGCGCAATGCATGACTTGCTGCAAGCATGCGTGAAACGACTGACCTTGAGGGATCCATCGGAGGAGCATGAGACGAGCGTGTCCGCCCCCACCAGCACCACATCGTTCACCTGAGTAGGTTGCAGTGTAGATGGGCGTGTGTGCGTGCGAGCAACTGACCTTGACACAACCACGTGTGAGCGACTGACTGACCTTGAGGGATCCATCAGAAGAGCATGAGACAAGCGTGTCCGCCCCCACCAACACCACGTCGTTCACCTGGGAGGGTGCGGTGCAGGTGGGCGTGTGTGTGAGAGAGGCAGAGAGCCCAAGGGGTGCAGGTGGGTAAGTGTGTGGGTGCGTGCATGTGTGGCGGCGTGTGCGTGTGCATTTAAGTGTAAAACAGATTCTAGGAGGAAAACGAGGTTTGAAACCAGGATCACAAGAAGAAGAGAACCAGGTTACCACAATGTCAGAGCAAAAGGCATATGCCTGGTTGTCAGCAGTATAGCCTGAAGAGCCAATGTAGTACCTATTGAAAAGCACAGGGGGGTGATACCGCTCAAGAGTAGGCAGTTGATTGGCTTACCCAGTCTGTATGCGACTCGAAAGTCGTCTCATACACTCCTCTTGGGGTTACCGCACCTCCATTCCCTCTCCCGTACCGATCCTCCTCTGCTGCTCCGGAGCCCGCCGAGCCTACTGGAACCCTCCACCGCTTTATCGTTCCGTCACGGCTCCCCGTGAACACTACATCCTCGATACAAGCCTCCTCGCTATAGTCACCATCATTGCTGCTTCTACTGTGGCTCTGGGAATGCGAGTGTGGGTGAGAGTGGGGGGATCTGGGCCCCTGCTGGTGCAGGTACCATGCTGACGCGGCAGGAGGGGCGAGGCAGACACTATTCACGCCAGCACAGTGCTGCGAGGGGGCGGGAGGAGTCAGGCAATGGAGGTGGGGGTGGCGGAGAGGGGGACAGGGGAAAGCAGTGAGAGAAAGCGGGGGGGATAGGAGGGGCGAGGGATCCACTGTTGACGCCAGAGCAGTGGTGCGAGGGTGGGGGAGGAGAGTCAGGGGATGGAGGAAAAGGGGGAACAGCGGGAAGCAGTGAGAGAGATCCTGTAGAAGGCGGGAGTGGGGGTGGGCGTTTGAGGTTGGGAGGAGGAGGAGGGAGAGGGGAGGATGGTGATGAAACAAAAAAGAAGCGGCAGTGGGACCAAGTGCGAGGTCAAGCGAACATTCCTCGTGTCCCATGCTCGTGGTGCGAATGACGAGGGGTACGGAAGAGTAATGAGGGATAAAGGGCAAGGGTCGGAGGTGAGGGGATAACGAGGGGTGTAATATGTAAAGGTGACTGATGAAAGTTGAGAAGTAAAAAATGAAAACCAGAGTTTGGGGGGAAGGGGGCGTGGGGTGTGGGGGGTAGGGAAGGGTGTTGAAAGTTAGGGGGGGTTAATGAGGGATCTGCGGCGATAATGACGGGTCACAGGAGGCAAGGAACGTCTGGATCCCTCATTAACGTTATATTCGAGTTTAAGGTCTCCAGCTAGCTATATTCATGACTCTATTCTGCATCCCCAACTCACGGTGGTATCATCCGAGTCGCGCACGACAAACGTGACTTTCTGCTCCTTGCGGGGCTGCGCCATGGCCCCGCCGCCCGTCGCCTGATGCATTCAATGCGGATCAGTGCGGTTCAATGCGGTTCAGTGCTATTGACATCCGTTCATTGCTCTTGACTCTATTCTACGTTTCCAACTCACGGTGGTGTCGTCAGAGTCTCGCACGACGAACGTCACTTTCCGCTCCTTGCGGGGCCTCGCCATGGCCCCGCCGCCAGTCACACCGATGCATTGTCGCGGTTCAGTGCGGTTGACTGCGGTTGTACTCTATCCTGTATCCCCAACTCACTGTGGTATCATCCGAATCGCGCACGACGAACGTGACTTTCCGCTCCTTGCGGGGCCTCGCCATGGCCCCACCGCCAGTCGCCATGGTCGACATGGCTCCCGCGCTCGTCGACCGATGCATTGCCGCAGTTCAGTGCGGTTGACAGCGGTTGATTGCGTTCGACTGTGGTCGGAAGAGCTGAGAATGGAACGCAGTTACATGTGATAAACTGTCCAGTGCCTGATCAGAGGGGATCAGCAATGGCGAATAGCGAATCCCGGTGTCCGCGAATCTTTCTTGCCTCCTTTCAACCTCGGTTGGTTCCGGTCGAAGGAATGAGCTAGTGATCAGTTAAGATTCGATTGGAGTGAACCTCGAATGAGTGATTTGCGGAACGAAAAGGCCTTAGTCAATTACTTTATCTAAGCTCTCTAACGCGTATGCACTAATGAGGCCGTATCCTAAACGATCACGAATGGCCTGATCGACGGAACGCAGAGAGCCTCGGGATTGCCGACAGATTCGCGACAGCAGACATCCATGTGCAATGGACACCGCGTCTCAGGTATCCAGTGCCTGCGGAACTCGTTGCCTAAAACACCATCGCCCGCGCTTGAACCGAGAAACTCATGTCAAGAGTCCGGAATGACAAGCGTCACAGGCCCTGTCTGGCAGGCGCTTGGTCCGGAATGAGAAGCAAGTCTGCTGAATCACAAAAACCATGGAAGGGAGGACCACAGGAAAGCGGTTTGCTGAATATGTGGAAGATTGTGACTGTAACGGGGTGCAAGGGAAGAATGAAAGAGGAAGGTGCAAAAATCAAATTGATTTGGGTGAATGGATTATACTCACATTTTGTGCAATAACCTACCCTGCGCCATATTAGGACGTATTTATTTACGCATTAATTGTTGTGAACTCGTGAAGTCGACTAAATTCATAAAAGCAATGCACATTTTCATGTATTTTAATTAAAATTATGATATTATCATAGCACCGCATTCGAGGTGTAACACAGTACTTTTTATCGAGTCCGTTCGTGGAGATTTGGTGGTGGAATTTTGCACCCCCTGCCAATTCGCGGCACATACGGAGGAGCGTCGGCGATTTTAGTATGGCCGAGGCGACTTTCGCGACTTTCGCGACGCCAGCACAGCGACTTTCGCGGCGCCACCACGGGAGCTAGTAGTAGATTAGTATAGCAATGCTTTCTTGGGCTATCCGCGGTTTAGCTCTTGCGCTGTTTCTTGCGCAAATGCAGTCGGCGCGCGGAGAGCAGCAAGGGAGAGAGCAATTACCAGAAAATCGCCAGCGCATGGCGGAAGTGAGCGGGGGGGTGGCGGAAATGAGCTGGAATGACGGGAATGCGCGGGAAATGGCGGGAGTGAGAGAGGGAGCGGCGGACGGTAGCAGGGGGGTGGAGGCAACTAGCTGGAATGTTGGGAATGAGCGGGAAATGAGTGGGGGCATGTCGGAGGTGAGCGGAGAAATGGCGGAGGAAAGCGGGGGAACGGCGGGGGAGAGCAGTAGAACGGCGCAAGGAAATGGAGAGAGGACAGAATGTAACAACTCAAGCCACACTCCCATTCGCTTCAACCACACTCGCTCAGGCAAGCGCAAACGGCCTCTGGTAGGAGATGTGCTGCTGGAGCTGGGCGAAGCGGCACCCACGGGATTCAAGCGGCTGCTGGGTGTCGCGGGCGTGCTGCCAGAAATTCACCGCCGCCTGCGGCGCAGCAACGCGACTGTGCTGGCCCCCTCGGACACGGCTCTAGCAAACCTGCTCCCGTTGGTGCTCCCCTTGGTGCTGCAGAGATTGGAGAGCGCGGTATTCCCCAAGAGTCGCCGAAATAATCCGGTATTTTCAAGAAATCTTCGTGCCACGCAACAAGGAGCGAGTAGAGGGGAGAGAACAGCCGCAAAGCGGGGTCTATTAGAGGAGCAGCTGGGTGGCTTGAAGCAGGGTTCGGTCGGAGAGCTAGGATCAGCAGAGAGAAGGGAGGTTCTGCGTGAGATAGTCCTGTGCCATGTGATCCCGGCTAGGGTTTCCCTCCTGCAGTGGCGCGGCGAGCACCGATCGATGCAGGGCACTCGCCTCAGTCTCGCATCCTCTGGGCTCAGATTCACAGTATCCAATGTGCCTGTATCGAGTGTGGATCCGGGGAGTGTGCCTGTTTTGTATGGGACTCTATCGCGTGGGGATGTGTCGAATGTGGCTGTAACAGTGGGCGCCACTGTAGTCACGCGGCGCCTGGTGGTGTACACTGTAGAGGGAGTGCTGCTACCCTCACTGTTGGGAGGGAGTGTGAGTGTAGATAATAGTAAGAAGGAGAAGGGTGATGCAAGCAAGAGGAGGGAGAGAGGGGGGTGGGGTGAAGGAAGGATTTGGAAGGAAGATTCAAACCAAGGGTTTGATGATGCTGCAGCTCATGACATTAAACAAATCGAGCAGACTCTACAGGCATTCTTGGACAGGCAAACTTTTGGTAAGACTTCAGTGTGGGCCCTGTCCCTGTCCAATTCCGGTCCCTACTGTATGATTCGTTGTTCCCTTTGTCCATATGTCCAGTCCTATAGTCTTGCCCTGTTTCTATGCTATTTCGGGAATCTATAGCTCCTGTCATCCATTTCAGAAGTGGTCACTTGAGAATTACGTGTCTCTGCAGCTCGAGTCAAACCAAGTTTCTCGACAACAACCATCAGTGGCGCGTGTCTTATGGTTCTATTGGACTTGCTGACTTATCGAATCAGATGCAAGGTAAGCAGTTACAATTCTTATGTGTTGTCTAACATTTCAAGCCTTCCTGGTGGTCCTTTTCATTCTACTAATGACTATTTTGGTGCCTTCTATGTTTTTTTGCCTGGCCATATGATGATGCCATGTGATTGTTGATACTGGTTATTGTATTTGAAGACCCTTCTGCGTCAAACTAAAGGGTGTATGCGAGTTCGAAAGACCAGCTAATGTATAGGCTTTGTCGATTACATTGCTTCACATAAAGCTCTCACTAGCGCTTATGCTAATGGCGGGGAAAATCGCACACACCCAACGAAGCTATTTGGCGGAGAAAAAAAGAACCACACGCCGCGTTCTGCAGGCGCATCTGCCTGATTCGCCTGTTCGGAACATCTCAAATGTCGATATCTGAGATACCAAATCTGTAACAAAAGGAATTTGAAACAAACACGCGCGTTCATTTATCACGTCTGTACAGCTCATCCGTCGTGGCGCAAAAGGATTCTAGACGGTTCACAGCGGTTCCTATAAATTACCGTTTTAAACCGTGTCACAACGAGAGTAATCGCTCAAAATGAGCTGTACATCAGCAATAAACGAACGCGCTGACCCCGCCCTTAGTACGGAGCTCCTCGCACGAAACACAAAATACACGGAACTGAACGCGATAAGAGATTCAGGGAGCGCAGATACAGCCTAGAACTCCCAAATGCATTCCGTAATTCCCAATGCTAGCTTTGCAGGCGAATGCTTTCTCTATCCCAGCCGCCTATCCGTCCAGATTCAATTACCCAGGATAAGAATCTCGCCTGATGCTTTACCAGCAATAAACACGGCATAGAACCTGAGAAACGCATCGAGCTGCTCGCTATTTTCTGACATCGTGTGTGTGGGAGTAGCAGTAGGCGAGAGGTGCCTTCTCATCATTGTAGTTCGCTTTGCGTTGCGACACACTTTTATCGCTAGAACATCCTCGCATCCACGCACTAGAACGTCAACGCGTCGCTTAATAATCGGCTGGCAGAATGTTGAAACCCGCGGAGCACCAGGTGGCTGGTCACCGCTTCGAGGGTGAGCGAATCCTGGGGGAAGGGGGAAGGGGGAAGGGGGGTGGGGGGAAAGGGGGGATGGCGGGAAGGGAGGTGAGGGAGAAGGGGATCTGCCGCAACCCGCGGAGCACCAGGTGGCTGGTCACCGCTTCGAGGGTGAGCGACGGGGGAAGCGGGAAGGGGAAGGGAGGGAGGGGGGTTGGGTGAAAAGTGGGGAAGGGGAAAATGGTAGAATGGGTTCTGCCTTAACCCGCGGAGCACCAGGTGGCTGGTCATTGCTTCGAGGGTGAGCGAAGGGGGAAGCGGGAAGGGGAAGGGAGGGCGGAGGAGGGGGTGTGTGTGGGGGGGGGGAAGGGGGAATGGGCGCAGGGGGTTTGCCGCAACCCGCGGATCACCAGGTGGCTGGTTACCGCTTCGAGGGTGAGCAAGGGGGCGTGGGGAGGGCGAAGGGGGTGCGGAAAGGCAGGAAACGGGAAATTTCAGGTGCGGGGAGGATAGGTGACGGCGAGTCCGTTGGGAAAGGGGGAGAGGGAGAGGGAGTGGCGGAAGATCGAGGGGAAAAGGGGAAGAGACAGGGAGAGGGTGCTAAGGTGGATCTCCTGGGAGGAACTGGGATGTGGGAGGTTTTCTTTAGAGAAATGTCTAAATTGACTTCCAGGTGGTTGGTCACCGTTTCGAGGGTGAGCGGGCAAAGAGGGATTATTCGTTTAATTTTGCGGGGTAGATAAATTAGTTCTTGCTAGTGTTGGAGGTTTATTGTTGACTAGGCTTGTCGTGGCGTTTCACTCCCGTTCTTGACACTTTCCAGCAATACTTCCACAGAGTTGACTTTTGAGTTGACTCAAAAGTCAACTCTTCTTGACACTTTCCAGCAGTACTTCCACAGAGTTGACTTTTGAGTCGACTCAAAAGTCAACTCTTCTTGACACTTTCCAGCAGTACTTCCACAGAGTTGACTTTTGAGTCGACTCAAAAGTCGACTCTTCTTGACACTTTCCAGCAGTACTTCCACAATTACCCGTTTCCCTCTCCAATTCCAACAGAGGGCCGACAGGGTTCGCTAGTGGACGATTCGGGATGCTTTTATAAGCCAATGCAGGCCGGCGAACGTGGCGAAAAGGAGCTAAAATTCTACACGCGGATTGCTGCGGACACGTCTATCCCTCCGGAGATTAAAGCCATGTTTCCCACGAGCCACGGGAGTAAGGAGGTGCTGCTGCCGCCGTCACACACGCCGTCTGCTGCTCTTGCTGCTGGCGCCGTTGCTGCCGCCACTGCTTCTGCTGCCGCTGCTGTTGCTGCTGCTGGTGGTGCTGCGGATGCAAGCGGGGAGGAAGGAGGGACAGAGCAACAGCTTACACCAGTCAATATCCTCCCACGATCTTCCCCCCATTCACCCGCTCCCTGTGGCCTTGGTCCTAGGACCAATGTTAGGGTCAGAAATAACCTCATGCACGCATGTTTGGTATTTTAAAAGGCCTGTCGTCATGCACACACTCTTGAGATAACAGTACCATTAGACCTTTTCACTGTCACAACGCACCAAGCATGTCAAGTTCTACCTTTGTTTTCTGATTTCTTAGTTTTCTCCAATCCATCAATCCCTGATTCGTTTTCTGGATACGTTTCTTCCTTGACTCCTCTCAACTCCTCTCTACTCCTCTCACCCTTCCCTCCCTCCTCAATTCGTTTTACACTTCTCTATCCTCCTCGCCTCCTCCCTTCCTCTCCTCCTTTCCTCCACTCCTCTCCCTTTCTCCTCGTCTCCTCCTCCCCCCCTCTCCTCCTCTCCTCGCCTCTCCTCCTTTCATCTTCACCTCTCCTCCACGTTAACCCCACTTGCCCTACTTACCCTGCATACCTCGATCTCCAATACGTCAACATTGACGTCAACGTTGACGGCAATCCATTTTGAACGTCAAGATCTCATTTGTGGTGCCTCAAAACTCCCAACACTGTGACCAACTGCTGGTGCAACCATGGGTTTTTGGATATGTTGAGCTGACATGCACCCACGTGTGTGGATGTGTGTAAGCGTGTGCATGTGTGAATGTGTAACTGTGTGGTATATGTGTGTGCATGCTTTCATGGCTGGGTGCATGCATGATAGTGTGTGCTGGATTTGCGATGCGATGGCTGTATGATGGTGTATTACTTGCTCGTTCATATATCACAGTTTCTTGTAATGGAGGACCTTACAAGGAATTACACCAAGCCATGCATCATGGATATCAAGGTGAGAGGGGCATGTGAGAACACATGATAATGAGTCATGCATGAGCACTGTGCAAATTATAAAGGTTCTTCCCTTCCACCTTTCCTGCAAGCAGACAGGGTGCGAGACATAGTATTAAGGGTGCATGTGCATGGGCTCTTGAAAAGTACATGCTCGGCATATGCCAGCCATTTTACTTTTGAGTCACCTCAAAATTTCTCACTTAACCTACAGCATGTGCCGGCTAGTTTACTCTGTCTTACCATATGCGCCCCCTCTCCTCTCCCCCCTCCCGCCTCTTACCTCCTATCTCCCCGCTCCCCCCCGTCCCTCTCCACGCTCTGGTAAGCAGATGGGGCGCAAGACGTGGTATGAAGGGGCTCCTCAGAAATACATCGACAAATGCTTGTGAGCCTCTTCCAAGCCTCTTTCAAGCCTCTTCCAAGCCTCTTTCAAGCCTCTTCCAAGCCTCTTTCAAGCCTCTTCCAAGCCTCTTTCAAGCCTCTTCCAAGCCTCTTTCAAGCCTCTTCCAAGCCTCTTTCAAGCCTCTTCCAAGCCTCTTTCAAGCCTCTTCCAAGCCTCTTTCAAGCCTCTTCCAAGCCTCTTTCAAGCCTCTTCCAAGCCTCTTTCAAGCCTCTTCCAAGCCTCTTTCAAGCCTCTTCCAAGCCTCTTTCAAGCCTCTTCCAAGCCTCTTTCAAGCCTCTTCCAAGCCTCTTCCAAGCCTCTTTCAAGCCTCTTCCAAGCCTCTTCCAAGCCTCTTTCAAGCCTCTTCCAAGCCTCTTCCAAGCCTCTTCCAAGCCTCTTCCAAGCCTCTTTCAAGCCTCTTCCAAGCCTCTTTCAAGCCTCTTCCAAGCCTCTTCCAAGCCTCTTTCAAGCCTCTTCCAAGCCTCTTTCAAGCCTCTTCCAAGCCTCTTTCAAGCCTCTTCCAAGCCTCTTCCAAGCCTCTTTCAAGCCTCTTCCAAATTCCAGTCAAGCACATTATTCAAAGCCGCTTTCTCCCTTCCTTTTCCTGCCCCATTCCCTAGCTATGAACACACACACAAAGGCAAAGACGTCACCACCGCAGCAGGGTGTGGGCAAAAGGGGTCGATCATAGCAACAGGGTAGCAGAAGGGTGGGGAACGCTGGGCTACAGGTTAGCGGGCATGAAGGTGCACAATAGCAGCTCTGGCGCCATGTGGAGGGCTGCTGCTCTCAGTCTAAGAGAAAGCCTCCCGCCTTTACGATCCCTTCTTTGCAACTCCTGGCTCGTGCGTTCACAGGGTCGAAGACGCCACCACCACTTCAGGTTCTCCATGTTCCAGAGTAGAGGGCATGCAGATGCACGACAGCAGCACTCGCGCCATGTGGAAGGGTGCTGTCAGTCTCAGACCAACCCCCCTGCCCTTTCAATCCCTCCCGGCTCGTGCGTTCACAGGGTCAAAGACGCCACCACCACTCCGGGTTCTCCAGGTTCCAGAGTAGAGGGCATGCCAACTTTTGAGTCAACTCAAAAGTCGGTTCTCCAGGTTCCAGAGTAGAGGGCATGCCAACTCGTGCATGACAGCAGCACTGGCGCTTGTGGTTGTGTCATGTGACCCAACTCTCCTCCCGCCTTTCTTCCTTCTCACTCTTTTCAATCTATCCTCCCGCCTTTCTTCCTTCTCACTCTTTTCAATCTATCCTCCCGCCTTTCTTCCTTCTCACTCTTTTCAATCTATCCTCCCGCCTTTCTTCCTTCTCACTCTTTTCAATCTATCCTCCCGCCTTTCTTCCTTCTCACTCTTTTCAATCTATCCTCCCGCCTTTCTTCCTTCTCACTCTTTTCAATCTATCCTCCCGCCTTTCTTCCTTCTCACTCTTTTCAATCTATCCTCCCGCCTTTCTTCCTTCTCACTCTTTTCAATCTATCCTCCCGCCTTTCTTCCTTCTCACTCTTTTCAATCTATCCTCCCGCCTTTCTTCCTTCTCACTCTTTTCAATCTATCCTCCCGCCTTTCTTCCTTCTCACTCTTTTCAATCTATCCTCCCACCTTTCTTCCTTCTCACTCTTTTCAATCTATCCTCCCGCCTTTCTTGCTTCTCCCCGCATGTGTGTGTTCGCAGGGTCAAAGACGCCACCACCACATCTGGCTGTCTGGGCTATAGGGTAGCGCGCATGCAGGTGGAAGGTAGCAGCACTGGTGCCATCTTTAAGGCTGCTGTCAGTCTAATACCAACCCCCCTGCCCTTTCAATCCCTCCGTGCTTGTGCGTTCACAGGGTCAAAGACGCCACCACCACAAGCGGAAGCTTGGGTTACAGGGTAGCGGGCATGCAGGTGCAGGACAGCAGCACTGGCGCCATGTGGAGGGCTGCTATCTCTCAGCTCTTAGAAGGAACTCCCCTTCTCTCCCCGCTTCCTTCACATCTCCACACTCCTATGCAGGGTCAAAGACGCCACCACCACAAGCGGAAGCTTGGGCTACAGGGTAGCAGGCATGCAGGTGCACGACAGCAGCACTGGCGCCATGTGGAGGGCTGACCGCAAGTGGTGCCAGAACCTGACCAATCAGCAGATGCCAGCTGTCTTCCGCCTCTTCTTCTCCTCCACTCCCACCGCTGACGCCCCTGCCGTCGATGCTATCGCTGCTGCTGCTGCTGCAGCTGGTGCTGCTGGTGCTGCTGCTGCTGGTGTTGCTCTCAGTGCTGAGGCGAAGCAGAGAATGAGAGGCATTCTGTGTGGAGAGGGAGGGCTATTGGCGCAGCTGCAGACACTGAGGGACTGGTGAGTCTTTCCTGTTGCTGCTGCTGCTGCTGCTGCTTGTGCGTATGGTGCTAGTGTTGCTCTCAGTGCTGAGGCGAAGCAGAGAATGAGAGGCATTCTGTGTGGAGAGGGGGGGCTGCTGGCACAGCTGCAGGCGCTGAGGGACTGGTGAGTCCTTACTTCATAAACAAGTGAAGCGACCTTTCAGGCATGAATGAACACCGAGGGCATAATCAGCTTGCTTTTCAAGTCTCTCGTAATTCGTTTATAGCTTCATCAATAGCGCTTCTTTTTCCACTTCCTTCCCTTCCCTCCTCCATCCTCCTCAGTTGCAGGATGGCAAAAGCCGCACCCATACCCCCTCGCCCTCTCTCTCCCCTCACCCACCCCCACCATTCCCCCCTCACAGTTCCGTGCAGCAGAGCTATTTCCACGTCGCCTTCCCATCCATCCTATGCGAGCCACAGTTGCAAGGAGTAGACGAGGGATGCACCTCAGAAGGAGAATAGGGGTGGGATGCCATTGATAACATTCTTCATTCACGCGGCCTTTATTTCCCTTCCCTTCCTCTCCCATTCTGCTCGTCTCACTGCCCTTGCTGCCCCTCCCTTCACAGGTTCACGCAGCAGAGCTCTTTCCATTTCCCCTTTCCATTTCCTCTTTCCATTTCCTCTTTCCATTTCCTCTTTCCATTTCCTCTTTCCATTTCCTCTTTCCATTTCCTCTTTCCATTTCCTCTTTCCATTTCCTCTTTCCATTTCCTCTTTCCATTTCCTCTTTCCATTTCCTCTTTCCATTTCCTCTTTCCATTTCCTCTTTCCATTTCCTCTTTCCATTTCCTCTTTCCATTTCCTCTTTCCATTTCCTCTTTCCATTTCCTCTTTCCATTTCCTCTTTCCATTTCCTCTTTCCATTTCCTCTTTCCATTTCCTCTTTCCATTTCCTCTTTCCATTTCCTCTTTCCATTTCCTCTTTCCATTTCCTCTTTCCATTTCCTCTTTCCATTTCCTCTTTCCATTTCCTCTTTCCATTTCCTCTTTCCATTTCCTCTTTCCATTTCCTCTTTCCATTTCCTCTTTCCATTTCCTCTTTCCATTTCCTCTTTCCATTTCCTCTCCGCCTCCATCCTCATCATACACGAGAAGGGGAACTGGGAGACAAAGAGCGCCCTGAAGGGCTTTCCTTATTCAAGCGACTTCACTCCCTTTCTGCTCACATTCCTCTGCACTCACCACCATTGCCCCTTCACAGGTTCGTCCAGCAGACCTCCCTCCTTCCACTTCGTCTCAGCCTCCATCCTCCTGTTTTGCAAGGAGGAGAGCGGGGATGGGAGTGCAGCAATGTGCATTTCTCATCTCATTCGAGCGACCTTTCTTTCCTTTTCCTTCCTCTCCCACTCTGCTCAACTCACCGCCATTGCTGCCCCCTCCCCTCACAGGTTCGCGCAGCAGACGACTTTCCACTTCTTCTCAGCCTCCATCCTCCTCATTTACGAGGCCAACACTGGTGAACACGAGGGGGCAGAGGCAAAGGAAGAGGGGAAGGAGGCGGGAAGCGGTGCTGCCCACCCTCCCTCTCTGAGGCTCGTGGACTTTGCACATGCCATCGATGCGCAAGGCAAGGTAGATGAGAACTTTTTGCAAGCTGTAGATGGGGTGATGGCAGCGTGGAAAGGAGTGCTTGGAGAGTAGCGGGTCAAGTCATTAGATGCATGGATGGGCGCATGGGTGGGCACAGCCACCTCCCTTCTCTGAGCTTGGTAGACTTTGCACATGCCATGGATGCGCATGGGAAGGTGGATGATATTTTTCTGCTGGCTGTAGATGCGGTGGCCGCAGCATGGAAAGAGGTCCTGGGAGAGGAGTGAGGCAAGTCACTGGGCGCTAACCGTAGCTGGACATGGCACTTTGGATAATGGGTGTATGGGCTGGCATGGGGAGGTGGATGAGAACTTCCTGCTGGCTGTAGATGGGGTGATGGCAGCGTAGCAGGCAGTGCTGGGAGGTGACTTTTGAGTCGACTCAAATGGCAGCGTAGCAGGCAGTGCTGGGCTGGGAGACCAGTGACCTGTCACAACTTTGTGGATAGGATGGTTCCTCGTGGATTGCGGTTAACATGTTGGAGCATTAGACCCACACAAAAAAGAGAGTGCCATCTACCATTTTGCCTGTCACGTTGTATTCATAGACTGGTGAGCAGAATATGGGCTAGTGAAGGGCAGTTTGTTTATGAAGAGGGTGGATGCAAAAGTGCACTCTGTGAACACACACCCACCCACCTAAGGAGTAAGAAGGGGCAGAATTATTGATCCGCAACAAGGTCCCACCGAGAATTGAACTCGGGCATTCAGATTCAGAGTCTGACATCATAACCGCTAGATCATGGGACCACGCTTCCGGACAGGAAAATTATAATTTCAAAATAAAAATGGTCTTTTACACAAAATCAATTATTCCTGTTTCATGGCCTCATGCTCAGTACCCAATACCGAGGCTAGCATTGCAGGCAATCATCTGCACTGTTGGAGATCATCATTCCATTTTTGTTTTTATCATTGATAAAATTGTACAGAGTTAACAACTTCCCCGAGTCTCTCCCTCTTCCCCTCCACACACCTCATCCCACTACTCCAACCAAGGAAACATTAGTGCCAGCCAGGACAGCCTAACCTTTCCTCAACCCTACGGCAGGGCCAACAGGCGGAGAGATAGGGCGGACGGCTGCTAGAAACCGGTTCACAACCTCCCTCTCTTCCTCAAACCAGGGGCACAGAATTCCTGGCTGGCTAACTTTTCTTCAAGCCTATAGCAGAGCCAACGGGCGGAGGGATAGGGCGGACGGCTGCTAGAAACCGGTTCACAGCCTCCCTCACTCTCTTCCTCAGCCCCTCCTCCACACACTCCACCTCCCCTCCCTCCTCCCCCACTCTCACACTCACCTCCACCCCATCCACACTCACTCTCAACCCCTCCTCGCCATCCCTCCTCACTCCCCCAAACATACTCTCTAGCACTCGCTCCAAGTGCTTCAACTCGTCCTCTCTAAGCCACCTCCACTTCCCGCTTTCCTCCTCTCCCTCCCCCTCTCCCCCTCCCTCTCCTTGTTCCGACTCTCCCTTCGCAAGAACCTTTTGACTACCTTCCTCCTTCCCCTCCTCTCGGCTTTCCTCCTTGCCCCTTATGCCCTCTTCACCCTTCTCTTTCCCCTCCTTATCATCCTCTCCAGCAACCAAGGCTCCCGATTTTCCATCTAATCCTTCCCCCTTCACTGCCCTCTCTCCTCCCTTCCCTCCCCCATCTTCCACTTTCACCGCCCCTCCTCTTCCTCCTCTCCCTCCTCCTGCTGATGTCAGCAGCGTCAGATCCTTCCCAGTCTGCCGCCCGGATTCCAGCTGCAGAATCAGAGCCACAATCGAATCTGCCAGCATATCTCCCACAGGCTCCGACACCCACTGCAGCACCACCCTGTCTTCCCCCTCCCTCGCTACAATCACCTTCTCATGCACCTGCACTGCAGGCACGCCAGCATCCTTTATAAGCACGACCGAGTCGAACAGCATCTCCAGGCGCCTTATAATGGGCTCGAACGGGCCTATAAAGGGTACGGACTGTCTCTGAACCACGGTGCCGAGACCAAGGGAGGTGTAGGAGGGGAGGTCCTGAGGGTCTAGTAGCTGGTAGTTAAAGCCCTTGCGAACTAGCAGCCCACTTATGGTGCGCCCTGCTGCTGCTCCCCTTGTTGGTTCAGCTGCCTCTGTTGCACATCCCGCCATTGCACCTGCCCCTGTTGCGCCTCCCCCTGCTGCTTCTGCCCCTGTAGTTGCTTGGGTTGCACCTGCTTTGCCTGATGCTACCAGTTCTCCCTCACCCTCTGCTGCTTTGATTGACGGAGCAGCAGCAGCACCACCACCACCACCAGCACCAGCACCAACACCAGTACCGGCAGCAGCAGCATCACCACCCTCCCCCTCCCCATCCTCCTCCCCATCAGGAGCCATAACCCCCCCCTTCTCCGCAATCCTCCCCACCACCTTCGCAATCTTCTCGCCCTTAAAAAAAAACTCCACGCCCTGGCAATTCTTCGGCGTGTGGATACTCGGCGGGGCCGGCGAGTCCTTAAAATGCAGCGCAAGCTTGGCTTTAAGGCGCGCCATCTCGTGCGCCTCCCCATGAACGAGCACGATGTGGGGGGGACGGATCTGCTCTAGGAAGTGGGAGGTCTGGGGGTAGTCGGCATGTGCTGCGAATGAGACGTAGTGGACTTTCATGCGGAGAGGGACGGTGGCTCCGGACTGAAGGGTCACCTCGTTGGGCTCACTCAGGATAGTCTTGGCTAGCGTGCCCTCCACCACATACCCTGGGATCAGGCATGTGTTCCTGGGGGGAAGAACGGGGAGAAGTTGGGAGGGGGATGTGGCAGAGTGACAAGGGCGAGAGGGACGGTGGCGCTGGACTGAAGAGTCACCTCGTTGGGCTCGCTCAGAATGGTCTTGGCTAGCGTGCCTTCGACGACATAGCCTGGGATCAAGCACGTATTCCTGGGGATACAGGCGCCGGGAGGGGGGAAAAGAGGCAAAGGGAAGGGATGGGCATGCGCTGCGAAGGACACGTAGTGGACCTTCATGCGGAGAGGGACTGTGGCACCGGATTGGAGGGTCACCTCGTTGGGCTCGCTCAGGATGGTCTTGGCTAGCGTGCCCTCCACCACGTACCCTGGGATCAAACATGTGTTCCTGGGGGAACGGTACCGGGTGGGGGGAAAGAGAAGAAAGGAGAGAGGCACGGTGGCACCGGACTGGAGGGTCACCTCGTTGGGCTCACTCAGAATGGTCTTGGCTAAGGTGCCCTCAACGACGTACCCCGGGATCAAACACGTGTTCCTGAAGGGTTGGGGGGGGGGGGAGGATTGGGGGTGAGAAGAGGAAGGATGGGAGGGAGGTTCAAAGGGAGTGGGCTGCAAAGGAGACGTAGTGAGGGGGACGGTGGCACCGGATTGGAGAGTCACCTCGTTGGGCTCACTTAAAATGGTCTTGGCTAGCGTGCCCTCAACGGCGTACCCCGGGATCAAGCATGTGTTCCTGGGGGGAAGAACGGGGAGAAGTTGGGAGGGGGACGTGGCAAAGTGAGATTGGAGAGTCACCTCGTTGGGCTCACTCAGGATGGTCTTGGCTAGAGTGCCCTCCACCACATACCCCCAGATCAAGCACGTGTTCCTGGGAGGTTGGGGGAGGGAGGAGGAGGGAAGAGATAGTCAACGACTGGGCCGGTGTCCTCAAACTCGGCAATGCTGCGCAGAGGCTTGAACACGCTTCCCCCTTTTTGCCTTTGCCCCACGAGATCTCACCTGACGTCCTGGCACCACATGTCGAAGAATTGCCTGCAGCCCGCCTGGACTAGAGATGACCACTGCAGGGCCCATGTGTCTTCAAACTCCATGATGCTGGGCAAGGACTTGCACACACTTTACCCCCTTTCCTTGGCCCCACAGTTCCTCACCTGGCGTCCTGGCACCACATGACAAACAGCTGCCTTGATAGACCACTCTGCAGCCCGCCTGGACTAGAGATGACCACTGCAGGGCCCATGTGTCTTCAAACTCCATGATGCTGGGCAAGGACTTGCACACACTTTACCCCCTTTCCTTGGCCCCACAGTTCCTCACCTGGCGTCCTGGCACCACATGACAAACAGCTGCCTTGATAGACCACTCTGCAGCCCGCCTGGACTAGAGATGACCACTGCAGGGCCCATGTGTCTTCAAACTCCATGATGCTGGGCAAGGACTTGCACACACTTTACCCCCTTTCCTTGGCCCCACAGTTCCTCACCTGGCGTCCTGGCACCACATGACAAACAGCTGCCTTGATAGACCACTCTGCAGCCCGCCTGGACTAGAGATGACCACTGCAGGGCCCATGTGTCTTCAAACTCCATGATGCTGGGCAAGGACTTGCACACACTTTACCCCCTTTCCTTGGCCCCACAGTTCCTCACCTGGCGTCCTGGCACCACATGACAAACAGCTGCCTTGATAGACCACTCTGCAGCCCGCCTGGACTAGAGATGACCACTGCAGGGCCCATGTGTCTTCAAACTCCATGATGCTGGGCAAGGACTTGCACACACTTTACCCCCTTTCCTTGGCCCCACAGTTCCCCACCACTCTGCAGCCCGCCCGGACTAGCCATCACCACAGCCGGCCCCGTGTCCTCGAATTCAGCAATGCTCCGCAGCGACTTGATGAAGCGGAAGTCAAACGGGTTCGAAACCTCTGCTTGCTCGCGGATACGGTCGTTCATGGCGCTTAGGTAAGTGCTGGATGGGGAATAGCAGAAGAAAGGGGGGGGGGGGAATTGGGGAGGATGTGGTGGAAGGGGGGATGCTTTGAGTCAAAGGGGTTCGACACCTCTGCTTGCTCGTGAATGCGGTCGTTCATGGCGCTTAGGTAAGTGCTGGGATGAGGAACGTTTGGGGAGGGGAGGGGAGGGGGACGTAGTGGGCAGGGAGGGGGGTGGGGGTTGATTCAAAGGAAATCGAGACCTCTGCTCTGCTTGCTCGTGAATGCTGTTGTTCATGGCACTTAGGTAAGTGCTGAGTTGAAAGAAGGGCGAGAGAGTGCGGGAAAAAGGGGTCGAAAGTTGACTCAAAAGAATGAAACTTGATAAAGTGGAGGTCAAAGGGGTCGACATCTC